GGAGATCAACTTGGGTCAGAACTGGAAGAAGAGGAAGAAGCTGGCACAGATAGTTTGGGCTTACCTAGCTCAAGCTTGGGTCCTCGAGTGAGAAAAACACCTGCTCACCTGGACATATATGACTGCACATACTTCTCGGAAGCAGATTGGTGGGCTATGGTTGCTGTAGCTGGTGATCCACAAACTTATGAAGAGGCTGCTCAAGAAGAAAAGTGGAATGAAGCCATGAAGGAGGAGATGAAGTCAATAGAAAAGAACCAGACCTGGATTCTGACTGCTTTGCCACCAAATGTGATTCCAATAGGTCTCAAATGGGTTTACAGAACCAAATTAACTGAGACTGGTTCTGTGGACAAGTTCAAAGCTAGATTGGTGGCTAAAGGCTACTCACAAAGGGCTGGTATTGACTACACAGAAGTTTTTGCTCCTGTTGCAAGATGGGATACAATTCGGACACTCTTGGCACTGGCTGCTCATCATGGATTAATAGTCTATCAGCTGGATGTCAAGAGTGCATTCTTGTATGGAGAACTGGAGGAGGAGTTTTATGTTGAGCAACCTCAAGGGTTTGAGGTTGCTGGGGAGGAAAACAAGGTATACAAGTTGAAGAAGGCACTCTATGGCCTTAAACAAGCTCCAAGGGCTTGGTATTCCAGAATTGAGGCTTATTTCTTGCAGAATGGCTTTGAGAGGAGCACTTATGAACACACACTGTTCATAAAAAGAAGTGATGAAAGAAAGATTCTTCTCGTCAGTCTATATGTAGATGATATAATCTACACAAGCAACTGCTCAAAACTGATTGCTGAGTTCAAAAGTTCAATGCAACAGGAATATGAAATGACAGATCTGGGTCGCATGAAATATTTTCTGGGGATGGAGATCAATCAAACAGACAATGGGATCTTCATCTCACAACAGAAATATGTTAAAGAAATCCTAGAGAAGTTCAACTTGAGTGACTGCAACTATGCAAGGAATCCAATTGCTCCTGGAATGAAACTGACAAATGCAGGTGATGGGATTCCAGCAAATCCAACTGAGTACAAGCAGTTAATTGGAAGTCTGCTCTATGCCACTGCAAGTAGACCTGATATTATGTATTCAGTTTGTCTGCTGAATTGTTTCATGGAAAATCCAACCAGACAGCATATGTTAGCAGCAAAAAGGGTTCTTAGATATCTTAAAGGAACTCTGGGACATGGAATCTGGTATCAAAAGGGAAGCAAAGAAGGCTGTTTAGTAGGATATACTGACAGTGATTATGCTGGAGATCAAGATGACAGGAAAAGCACAAGTGGGTATGCATTCTTTCTGGCTGGTGGAGTGATTTATTGGGCCTCAAAGAAGCAACCAGTGGTTACTCTTTCCACCACAGAAGCAGAATTTGTAGCTGCCTCATACAGTGCAGCACAATGTGTTTGGTTAAGAAGGATTCTGGAACAGATGGGATGGGAAAGAAGTGTTGAAAGTGCCACAAAAGTGTACTGTGACAACATTTCCACTATAAAATTATCGAAAAATCCAGTGCTTCATGGCAGGAGCAAGCACATAGATGTCCGCTTCCACTTTCTCAGAGATCTGGTAAGAGAAGGGGTGATTGAGATTAGGGGTGGGCAACGGGAAACGGGTATTTGGGTATACCCGTACCCGTCCCGTTTTTTAAGGGTTACGGGTACCCATATTACCCGTAATATTATAAACGGATGGGACTTGGGATTGTACATTCCTAATATGGGTACCCGCGGGTTACCCGCAAATACCCGTTTGGATAATGTGGGTACCTGTTTTACCCATTTGCGAACTCTAATCCATAGAAAGGGAATGTCCACTTCGCCACAGTTGCAAGCATTTGGGGATATCTAGCTCTCCAGTTAGCAGACAAGGAAATTTTGCCTTTTAACTATCAGTCCTATGCTGAAGAGCTTCAGGTACGGCTATTTGTGCAGAACCATGGTACATCCCTGGTAACTAACTGGCCATCATGAGAAAACTTAGTATCTATGTCTTTAATCTATGTATAACAGAGAAATGCAAAGGAGTTGGAAGATCAGATATCAAATCAGATAACAGTTACTCCCTTTTGTTAAATGAAACTTCTTATTTGATAATTTGGTGCTTAGAATGATTTATTTCTATGCGTTGTGATTGTTCATGATTTGTGTTGAATGAAACTTCTTATTTGATAATTTGGTGCTTAGAATGATTTATTTCTATGCGTTGTGATTGTTCATGATTTGTGTCTTGTGATTGTTAAGCAAGTACAAGTTAAGTTTAAAGTTTTGTTAAAATTTGAGTGGTTTAAACTTTGGGTATTTATGGGTAGTATGGGTACCCGTTATCCGTCCCGTACGGGTAATGGGTACCCATTTCCCATATGAGTTTGGGATATGGGATGGACTTTGGCCTCCAAATGGGACTGGGTACCCGTTTAAAACGGGACGGGTATCCCGTCCCGTCCCGTTGCCCACCCCTAATTGAGATGGTGCACTGTGGCACTGAAGAGCAAGCAACAGACATCTTAACCAAGCCTCTCAAGCTGGAAACATTCGAGCTCTTACGAGCTGAACTTGGAGTGGTTGAAGCTGCCGTCTTGAATGAAGAGAAGAAGAAGACTGAGGATGAGATGAACTGAAGGGAGCTGACAGGCTTCAGTTCAGGGGAGGAATTATGAGCTGAAGTGCAGGCAGAAGAAGGGTGGTGAATCTGAATCCGAGTAGGAGAAGGATTGAAGGCTAGAGGCGGGAAGTCTAAGTTTTAAATAAGAGAGTAAAATGGCTGTCGTTTTACTTGAGAGTCCAGTCTATCTTAGTTTCATTTTTAGTCCTTGTATTTCTCTTTAGTGTCAATCGAGTCCATCTGAGTCTTAAGCATTGCAGAATGCTTGGTTGTTAAGTTAGCTGATTTATAGGTTGTTAGTTGAGTCATGGGAGCTGGAATCACGGGGTTAGTGGGTTGAGTTGAGGGCCGAGGTCAGAGGTCAACGGCTCTTGTATTTAATCCTTTCAATTTCCAAGTTAATAAACGGTCAGTTTGCTCCAAAGAGTTTACAACAATTACTAGCATTTGTCTAGTATTCTTAAATAGCTAAATAAACTGTTACGTGATTGTATTCCCTATTGATATGAGAAATGACAACTTTATAGAAATGTCGTTCAGATCGATCAGAGAAGTTGGAGATAAATGAAAGTATTAAATAACAAAAATTATGGAGGCATGATCTACTAATAAAAATAGATAATTCCGACGGTTTAATTCGAGCCTAGCCAGCAACCCACGCAAGCTTTTAGGGATAGTAGGAGTTGTAGTTGCTCTAGCTATTCTAGTGAATCGGGACCAGCAACTATCAACACCCTCGACTTTACCAAATCAATAAATCGAGACCAAGAATTAATTGTCAAGACCGCTCATCATAAAATACCGACGCACAGTGTCAACACTCAAACTTCCCTTTGTAAAAAAAAATTCAAAATCACAAATATGAATTATCTTAACTAATTATTATGTAGCAACTATTCTATTGAACCAGTTGAGAGTTGAGACTGGCAGCTATCAAAACCCTCAGATTGTACCAAGTCAACAAATCAAAATTCAAGAACTAACTGTCAAGACCGTTCGTCATACAATACTGACGCACAATGTCTAACACTCCAGCCTTCCTTTGTCAACAAAATTTCAAAACCACAAATATAAATTATCTTAACTACTCATCTTTGCATGTAATTGTTTAACACGAGTTTGATTGTTTATTTTCGATCATTTCAACTTTTGTAATGAGTCTCACATGCATACAAAATCAACCTCCACAATGGACAATTAAATAAGGAAACAAATTGCATGGTAGGAGAGAGTCTTTAAAAATAATTAAATATATTGTAAATATTTACGTTGCCGGCTGGCTGTTACACTATTGCTTGGTTAGTTGGTTCTTGGAACCATCCAATGATAATAATAAATAGATGTATTTGACAAACTGAGCCATTGGTAGGTTTCCTCATATTAATACCTTCCATTTTCAGCTGCATAATTATGAATTTTCAGAGGGGCGAAAATATAAATATCATTAAATTAACTAACTAGTGTATGAATTTGCAAGGCTCGTGGAAATATCGAACGAAGAACATTTTCGATGGCTATATTTTAACTCATGCAGACTTAATATCGTTTTTATAGGCTTATTATTAACAGGTTTCCATAAAAAAAAGTTTTGGTTTCGCAAATGTAGTTATATTTAATTTATGCTTGCACAAATCCACTATTAGTGGAGGATTAATGTTGGTCAATGTTAACAACAAGAACAATTATGGTTAAGCTTCCAAACATATTCAGGATGGATGAATTTATGTTGGTCAATGTTTATAGAAGGGGTCATCTCTTTCTCTATGGTTGTTGTGTGCTCAAAGCCTCAAAGTTTCAATCTAAGATGTGAGAAATTTTATTATTGTGGTCTTAAATTATTATTAATTATCTTCACTCTGAATAATTCATGTAGATTCGTGTCAAATTATATATCAATTATAACGCGAAAAAAAAAACTATCAAATTGGATAGATTCAATAAAACATTACTCAACCTATAATTTCTTCAGATCTCCTAACTCAATATTTATTCGTCACCGGGATCTCTTTCCTTAATCAAATTCAAGCAGATAAAAATCATAAACATACTTCCGTACACCATATCTTCATTTCAAATCTCGAATTTAAAATGCGAATCGAACTACACGATTTCTTTACTTATTCACATCCGCATACTTGATGGTAACAAAATCCCTAATCAGATAGAGGATGGTAAGTTTGCCCTAGAAAATATACAAAATCTTGTTAAGCCCGCAACATAACGTGGGAAAATTAAATACTTTGAAAATCAATTTTCTCAATCCCCATCTCCTTTGACCATCTCTATATATTCTTTACACGGTCTCGACACAAATCAAGGCACCCATATATTCAATACAAGAATTCAAAGCCATATATATAAACATCTATCAAGCAATCCGATTCCATAAAGATAACCCAATTTGGCAATTTCAATCCCAAAAGCAATCCACTCTTCTCCTCTCTTCTCTTCAGAATTACAGCCCAACAATGGAGAAACAGAGTAAGCCGAAGAACAACAACAACAACCATCACAACGTACTGAAGTTCCTCAAAGCAGCTTCCTCGATCAACTTCAACAACCCACCTTTCAGCCCGACCCGAGACCCGAACCACAATACCCATACCAACAATAAGCAGCAGCAGCAGCCCTTCTCCGACCACAATAAGGTACCGAATTACCAGGGGAATTACAGAGGATTCTCCGGCCCGATTTTCCTGCCGAAGGTTCCCCGACAAGTCCGCGGGCAATTCAAGTCCGGCGAGGCGGCCGAGGAGCCGACGTCGCCGAAGATCTCCTGCATCGGGCAAATCAAGCACAAGAAGTGCGGTAGCAAGAAGGCAGCGGTTCTTCCCAAGCCGGCGGCGAAAGAGAAGAAACAGAGCAAGAAGTCGTCGGAGCAGAAAAACCCGAAGCCCCAAGCCGGGTCGCCCGGGATCTGGAAGATATTCGGCTCCGCGTCGTTCAAATTGGGGCCGTCGTCCGCTCCGGGGAGGAAGAGGAGATCCAACAGTACTTCCGCCGCCGACAATTTATTTGTCTCCGACGAAGAGGGCGGGGAAAGGGCGACGACGGCGATGGGATCGGGGCAGCCGCTGCCGGACCGGGCGCCCGGTTTGAGTCAGATGAGGCGGTTTGCGAGCGGGCACCGGGACGGGTTGGGGGATTTTGATTGGACGGCTCGGATTGTGCCAGATCATGATCAGTTTAGCCGGGGGTATGACTCCGATGGTGACGATGGCGGGTACAGCGACGATGAGGTGGGAGCGAAGGATACGATGATTCCCTTCTCGGCGCCGATTCGGATCGGTACGGCTGCTGACGTGGAAGGATTGAGGCTGAGACCCCGGAAAGAAGTGAACCTGTGGAAGAGGCGGACCATGGAGCCGCCCCGCCCGCTCCAGGTGGTCGGGTCGGGTTCTTTTCATTGATTAATTGATTTTTTTTAATAACAATTTTTGGATGGAAATGTGAAACAAAAGCGACGTGTACTGTAGCTATCGATAAATTGTTGATTAGTCAAATTTTAATAATTAAGTCACAACTCTCTTCTTTGTAAACATGTAAATCTCTAGGACTTGGGAGTTCGTATTTTTGCATTTGGATTTGTTTTGCTTAAAAAAAAAACAAATTGGTAATCTCACATTGTTAGTTTAGTCCAACACTATTGATGCAGTAATCAACAATCATTAGTAAGAGGAGATATCTTTATTATCAATTGATCCGAAGACATGGAAAGGGATGTTTTTATGTCCGCAACAGAAGCCCAAGCTCATGGAATTGTGGATCTCTTTATAAATTTTTACAGAGTAAGAAAACGGATGCAGCAATCAAAGGGGTTAAGATATGCCATATTCCACCAAATATTATCCATTTGAAGTATGACATTGTTGGGGTAACAAGCATTTGGTATTGTGTGCATTGTAAATTTGTAATATCCTCTTGCCTTTTTATATGAAAAGTTGAGTATTGTTGCATACAAGAACTACCGCCCATCAAAATGCAAGGATCATCTTCCTATCTGGTTGTTCAGGTACCGGCGCTTGTCGCAACCATTCAAGAATGCCTGAAACAACGGTCATATCACATTTGATACTCAATCACTAATGAAGATTGAAGAAGCTATAAATAAAAGATTTAAGGCCTCGAGGAAGGAATCAAAGATCACATTCTCTCTAATAACATTTATCTTTCGATCACCCAAAGTCCTCTTTTTATCTGCTTTATATCATACTATTGACCGGGGCGGTGGATTGCGAATGGACTATAGTTCCAAATTTCCTTTCTTAATAGTTCACTTCTAATGAAGGAGCTCGGAACCGGGTTGTGCCAAGAATTCACCTCGACGTCCGAACCCACTCCACAATCCCAGTTGGCCGCATCAAGTTAATACAAGTCTCGAGTCCTAATTGTCTAAACCCAAATACTAACATCAATTTGACAAAATACAATATTCAACTAGTTTAATTCGTTGAAAGATTTCTAATAATGAGATTACTAGGAGTATTGCATACTCCACAAAGAGTACGTTTGTCGTTCATTGTGAAATAGTTATAGTTGTAGATCTTATAAAAAAAGAAAATGCTTATTCACACTTTGTGATTCCAATAATAAAATGCATCGCAAATACTCGATTGGTAGGATCATCCAATTCAATTCAGAGAGATTTTTAGCAAGTGCCATTTGATGGGAGACAAGACAAGTAATACAACCAACTATGAAGTGTTGATAAATTTAATTGAAAAAGTAGACTGATTAGCTGGTTCTTTGTAAATGTAATCTCTAGGGAGATTGGGGTTTTGCAATTTGGATTTGGTTGCTTTCGAATATTCAGCGATTGATCCAAGAAGTCGCTAAAAGGAATTAAATTTGAGAAGTGACTAGCTACAATGTCTTGAAAGCTGCAATCTACACAGTTTCTTTCTGTTTTATTGTGTTGGAAAATGTCATTGATGTGACCAAGTAATATTCCCAATAATTAGGTGGAGGTGTTGATCTTGGATTAGCCATTTAGCCTTCCAAGCTAATTAAATAGGGAGTGAGACACAGATTTTGGCAAGTGCAAGTTGATTTCCCAAGAGTAGTTGCACCCCCAACTTGGTTGTTAATTAACAGGATATTGCCAATCAAGATTTAGAAAATTTAGAGGAAATTCAGGAAGTCATTATAGACCGTATCATATAATTTTTCCAACAAATCTAAAGCCTTCCATTGAAGTGTATAAATATTATTAGTCATGCTCATGAGATGAAAAATGACACGTAATTGCACCATTATTACTAATAATCGTCTCTTTCACGTACTCACCCATTAAAGTTGTCAATTCGCGGGTCGATCCGGTGAGAAAATGGGCATCACACTTCAGCGGGTCGACCCGCAGCAAGGTTCCCGGATTGGAGGTCGGTACTGCATAGTTTTTTTTTCCTTCTGATTTGCGAAATGCGTATCTTTTTCGGTTTTCCCCCTTCGTCTAATCCTATCTTTGGAATTATAATTTGAACATTTTAATATTGATGTTATATGAGTGTATTTGAATTTTCACTATATGTTGGATCAAAATACGAACTATTATTTTGGTATTTTTTATATATTATTATCCATATGTTAGATGAGATTCGATAATAATTTATAAATGTATGGATAATATAATGACTTATTCCCACACATATATATGGATTAAACCGAATTAAAACTGTTGGGGGTATTACTCAGCCTTTAGGAGTTTGGGCCCCCAGACAAGTGACTTGGGGGGCAAAGCCCAAAAGAGGGTCCTGGGAAATGCCAAAAGGCCCAAATAAGAGGAGGGGCGCATGAAGACAAAACGCTAAAGGCCAAAGGAGTCCAGGCTGTCGGGTGGTCCCTCACCTGGGGGCGCCTGTCACGCCGCAGAAGCCTGACAAGGTGGTTGGGGTGTCTGACAAAAAGAGTACAAAGCATTAAATGGGCACAATGACGTGGAGGAGATCAACCTCGAAGTTCGGTGAGTATAAATAGGGGCAGTTGGTAGCATTTACACAGGTTGGACTCTCTCTCACTAAAATACCACTTGAGGACTTTACTCTCCCACTAAGACTAACTTGGGCGTCGGAGGATTAACGGGCCGAGGCGCCCTCCTCTTTGTGTGTGTAGGTCAACATTCGTCGGGGGAAGACGTCCAGATAGTGAGGGGAGTTTCGTGGCTCAAACAAAAACTATCAGACAATTAACTCTCAACTCACTTGCTCGATCGGACCAACGATCTAAACCGCAAGTTGACTAACTTTGGCACCCACCAACCACATTAAGATTTGCTCTATAATTGTTAGGTTTCCGAATCCTTGGGCGCAGCTTCTGACTTGTTTCCCATTTTTCTAAGGGCCAAGCACACAAAAGGACAGTAGTATGTGATGTGTGTGGCCTGTGCCCACTACAGTTGAATTGACACGGACGACAATATACAGGATTTGGCCATGTCCCTCCATATGCAAAATGCAACCAACTTCCGGCCGTAATATTTATTCCGCTCGCACACCGACGGCCGTCGGTGGTTGATGTTAGTATCTTAATCCTACCATACATATCTATTTTTGTTATATTATTAGATTGAGATGAGTTGTTCCGGTGGCCCCTCAGGCTCAGGCCCTCACCGTCTCTGCAATATGGGTGGGCATTCGGTCGGTTTGGTTTCGACCGAACTGAAATTATGAATGTCGGGTCTCTGAATTCTCCCAAACCTCAAACCGAATTCGTACCGATTTATAATTTGGTTCGGTCGGTTTAAACCGAAATATAATTCGGTTCGGTTTTCACACAAAACCGAATTTGTGAAGCTACTTATATCTTCTCACTTTTAAATTATTTTTCACCCCTAATATAAACAATAAATATGCAATTATTTGCATCATCAATGATAAAATCAAACTTTTCAACACATAAGACACAAAATATTTCAAATATTTAAGTCTTAAAACAACTACAAACATAACCATTTGGAGCTTGCAATTATAGTATTTCGGTCGGAAATTCCGTTGAAAGAACCCTGGTTTCCGAACTATCCATATTTTCCTTCCGAACCGAATAGCATTAATTCGGTTTCGGTTCGGTTCGGATTTACCGAACCGTTTGTCCACCCCTACTTTGCCGCCTTAATTCGTTGCATCTCTCTCTACACATAAATGACCATAGTTAAGGGGGGAAACAAAAGAACATACGTCAAACTGGCCGCGGTATAGACTTGGCAATCAGGTCGGGTTGGATAATTTCGGGTTTGGGACTTCGGTTACGGATCGGGTCATGTTTGGTTGGCTTATTTCGGGTCAAATATTGACCCAACCCATTCGGTTTCGGTACGGGTTATAGGTCGTTTCGGGTTATGAGCGTTCTCAGAAATAATATCAAACATGCTTCATATTTTCTCAAAGAACACAAATTTTCACATATGCATAAGTTCATAACAATAGTTTACCTAACACATGTCAATTAACATATTCTCAAATCCTCCCATGCTAATGAAATGAAATACAAATTACACAAATCGTCAAAAAACAATCACAAGAGTAATACTACTAGAAAAACACATAATAATTTATTATCCTTAAACTCCAAACATGTCATTTAAATCCTTGTGTTTTTTTTAATATCTCACCAATTTATGAGTGATTTTATCATTTTGGGAGTGATATATAAAATAGAACGGGTCTAACGGGTCGGCCCTCTAACCCACCCAATCCGATCCAAAAATCACGGGTTATCGGGTTCGGGTCATTCGGATTTCGAGTTATAAAAATTTCTACTTTTCGGGCGGTTCGGGTCGGGTTGTAAATTGCCAGGTCTACCGTTGTACCCTTCCCGCTTCAATATATAGCAAAGTCGTGAAACTATAGTGGAAATTATAAGAAAAAAAGTTAGTGGTACGATATTTTATATTAAATTATGATTTAGTTGTAATATAACTGTTTTATAAAATTAAAATTGTTTATTGGTTTGCGATTCGGTGTCCAATATTTTTTATACGATTGGTCGGTACCGTATGATTTCTGAAAAACAGTAGTAATCTAGGTGCATATTGATTAATGTTTTGGACAAAATTAAATTAGAGAAAAATATTTTTAAGATACTAATGGTAAATATTATTGGTTTTGATTAGAAAACTTTATGCACACGGAAGTTGATTAGAAGTAGCGTGTGGCCTCTGGAAATATCTCGGGAAGACGAGAGTTTTGTAGGCCTGGAGAACCCAACTTTTTAATTGGATGGGCCCTTAGTGACTCAACAATTCAATTTCACGTTACACAAGACCAATGGACTTTTCAATACATTGTCCAAGTAGCCTTTTCCTTGTCAGTTTATTGGTGTTTAGTTGATTTTGTGGTGTCTAAATTCTGGAGTAGAATTAAGAGAAAAATACACTAGCATAGCAATTAATATTCAAATTGTGATAATCATAGCCAAAATTTGAAAACTATACAAATATTGTCTTTTCGTTTATAAAATTAACAATATTATCACGACAGCTGACTGGATAAATGGTTATTTGTGATGTAGTCATTGTTGTCAATGTGGCATGCCAAGTGGACTATGTTTCTAATTTCATTAATTAAAAAGTTAGATCAAAAGAAACTTTACCAATTTATCGATCGTCACTTTACCATTTTGATAGACTTTTACCCAATTTAGGAGTTGAACTCTCGTTCGACGAACACACTCATCCGCTGATCCACACCCCAATCCAGTACAGCTCATCCCAACGATACACTCTCCAACTCCGTTCAAACTTCGACAAAGGAAGCCATGCATCATCTGGATGGCAAATATACACCTCAATTGTTGCACCCCTTGCCCATTTCAGACTACGTCGGCGAACCCGAAGAACTCTAATCCACAGTCAAACCTGGTGAATATGGCGCTATCGAACCCGACCAACCCTGAATATCGATGTGAACCCGACGAACCCTAATCCCACTATCGAGTGTTGAGATTTTCATCTCTTTGGGTTGTGGTGTCTAGTGATTACTAATCACCTAAGGTTGTGTTGGAATGATGTAATGGTTATGCTTTCAAAGGGTATAACCTCCACTTTCGATGCTCGTCGAACTCGAATCAGTGCCATAGTTATCCACGTTCCTACGAACATCCCTCTGTGATATGAGTCAACTGGGAGATGTGGACTCTGAGAACACGATTCGTGGACTGAGAGAGAGTCGTCGAAGCTAGGAGAGAGGCATCAACTATGGGTAGAGAGAACTCGGAAACGGGAATACGAGGAGTCGACGATGGGGACTTGGGAAAAAAGAGGGAGCGTCGCCGCCGAGGGATATTAGCCCTGATATCTAGTTGGTAACAACGTGTTGCCATGTTACTGACGGCGTCCCTAACTACATTTAAAGTTTGTAACGAAAATGGCTAAAGTTGTCAAACTAGGTTCAAAAGAGTTTATATATCTATGTTTTTTTCCCCAAAATTTTGCTATTATTGTCCGAAAGTGTATAATTATGATTATACAAGTGTATTTTGCCTAGAATTAACCTTGAGTACAAAATGAATAACGTGCACCATACCTTTAACTCGAAACCCTTATACAAACATCACCTATAAGAACTCAGATTCTCAAAAGCTCATATTGTAAATTTGTACTATAGTCATATCGGATAAATCAATGTAACCAGTTGTCAACTTGGGATTTAGTAGGCGGCAAGGACAACCAATATTTGCAAACACGGATAATAATAATAATGACTTTGCTATGTTGCAATTCATCGTAATTTGAACTTTTTTGTTTAGATTAGGTCGACCTAATCTGTTGTTTTAGTGTAAAAATAGTTTGATGGTACCTACTTTGGAGATTCATATCTTACAATTGGCTCAAATGGAAATTGGAGATTAATGGCTTGTTTTGAAACTGGAGTGTCCCTCTACACATTGAAGTACTTAGGAGCTCGATAGGAAGTCCAGAAGACAATTTTTGAACTTGATTAAAAGGCTATGCCAAAACTGGGAAACTGTCTGAAAATGGCCAAGTCTGGGAACGTGTTTGTGAAGCCTACTTTGGAGCTCAATTCGACACGCATGGATGAGAGTCGAGTCCAGGGGCCTCTACGACGCGAAAGTAGGTATGTTTGTCTATAAAGGCAAAGCATTGGATGAAATATTGAATATCTGGAAGGCTTAAAACAAAAGGCTCGAAATTGCTACGAAAGCTGTTTTCTGATAGTTTGCTTGTGCTAGAAGGCAGCTTACTTGCAAGGCATCATAAGCGCACCCTATTAGGGAAAACTAATTATTAAGCTTAGTGTTTGATATAAAGATGATATCCTCATACGAAAATCCACCACCAAATTCCATAATCACCATGTATAACAAACATTTCCCTTCACAACTCAACACACTTCATGTTGAGAATATTAATTATTTAGTAAAAAATAATTAATTCTTTGTCCTCCAAGTCCCTTGTTTCCTTGTCCATGTAAAAGAAGGAAATTTGGTTGTCATTAGGGTTTTAACCCTACGTCTATCTCTATATAAGGTTTAGCTACGAACCTGTCATAAGCAAGCCATCACAATGTAGTCCCTAATAAAATATCAGTCATGAGCTCGTTCCGAGCTCACCGTAGATATTTTCGATGACTCAATTGATCGAGGATACCACGTAAAATCCCTTGTCTTTTGTGTTCGTTTCCTTCAGCATCATCAAATTCTTCATGGTATCAGAGTTGGTTTGTACTTGAGGTCACGTGTTCAAGTCCTCAGGACCCCCAATATCAGCCGTTGTCTTACATGCACATGGTATGGCGGGCTTGTGCAAACTTCAAGCCCATAAGTCGGCTTTCGTTTGAGAGGGCGTGTAAGGAAGTTGTTAAGTACCATACATGGGCCTGTATAAGATCCAATATAACCTTCTCCCAACAACTCGAGTAATTGGGACCAACTGGTTTATGACACTTCACTTTCAACTAATACGTCACACGAAACCCTTGGTATCTCAAAATTTCCCCAATCAGCTCCCCCTTCCTTGACCCGACGTACCTCCCTTTGATCTCGTCGTTCCGTATAAACAGAAACGTCGGCACCTCGATCACGTCCATGTCCTTGAGGAAACCATACAGCTGTCGTTCTCGTCGCCGTTCATCCTCGCGAACGTCGCTGTGTCCGCCATCGACCGCGACAGCTTCAGCACCGCCGGGTAGACCTTGACGCAGGGACCGCAGTGCTTGAGCCCGACGTCCAGCACGATGAGCTTGTGGTCCTCTTTGTGGGCGGCGATTAGCTTCTCCACGTCCTCGCGGCAGTGCAGCTGCGCCACCGTGTCGTGGCTGTCGCCGTAGTATAGCACGTCTCCCATCAACTGGTCTGGCCCGATCGCTTCCTCCTCGTGTATCTGGAGCAAGATTTTCGAATAAGTTTATCGTCGTTATGTCAATAGTCCGACCCGTGATGGAGCGAATCTATTATATTTCATGATAATTTTAGCAAACCATGTAAGAAATAGGAAATCATTAACATTAGATGACTTTAACTATATATAACATATTTGAAAATAATCTCTTAAAAAGCTAAATTCATATTTAAATAAAATAAATCATTAAAAAAAAGAAAAAATCTTACATTTAAATTTTCATACTTAGAATATAATCTAACAAAAAATATCGAAATTTAACTTTCAATTGAAGAAATTTTTTTTATTGTTTATCAATTAAATTCATTTAAACAACATCATTTTGTTTACAAATAGAAAATTGACCACAAAAAAGTATTCCAGCCGATTTTGTGATTAGTATTGGTTGAACCGGAATTTTACGGCCAGTTTGGTCACCGAGGCACCGACATGACAACTATCTAGAGTGAAATTTTTTACTTATGTTAAACAATATGACTTTGCTACAGTGACATGCATGTCACGTGACATGCAGTTTTTGGTCGACCTCGTATAGGATTAGGTCGACCTAATCTGTTGTTCAGTGTAAAAACAGTTTCATGGTGTCTACTTTGGAGATTCATATCTTACAATTGGCTAGATGGAAATTGGAGATTTAAGGCTTGTTTTGAAGCTGAAGTGTCCCTCTACACATTAAAGTACTTGGGAGCTCAATAGAATGTCCTGAAGACAATTTTTGAACCTGACCAAAAGGCTATGCCAAAACTGAAAAACTGCCTGAAAATGGCTAAGTCTGGCAACGTGTTTGTCAAGCCTACTTTGGAGCTCAATTTGAGAAGCATGGATGCGAGTCAAGTCCAGGGGCCTCTACCACATTAAATTACGTATTTTTTATATACAAAGGCAAGGCATTGGATGAAAGATTGAATATCTTTAAGGCTTCAAACAAAAGGCTCGAAGTTGCTACGAAGGCTGTTTTTCTGGCAACTTGCTTGTTTGAAGCCTTACATATATCCAATCTTTCATCCAATGCCTTGTATTTGTATAAAAATATACCTAATTTAACGTGGTAGAGGCTCCTGGACTCGACTCGCATTCATGCTTCTCGAATTGAGCTCAAAAATAGGCTTCACAAACACGTTAGTTTCCCAGTTTTGGCATAGCTTTTTGATGAGGTTCAAAAATGGTATTCTGGACTTCCTATCGAGCTCTCAATCACTTCAATATGTAGAGGGACACTCCAGCTTCAAAACAAGTCATTAGTCTTCAATTTCCATCTAGCCGATTGTATGATATGAATATCCAAAGTAGGCACCATGAATTTGTTTTACAATGAAACAATATATTAGGTCGACCTGATCCTATATGAGGTCGACCGAATTCTAAATGAGGTCAACCAGATCCCATATGAGGTCGACCGGAAAGTGCAAGTCGCCGTGACATGCATGTCACCGTAGGCACACCCTAAACAATATAAAGCTTATAATTAAGCATGTAATTAAGTTGTGATTAAGTTATTTAATAAATTTGATTAAGTTTTAATTAATGACCTTCTCCATGCCCTTGTAGAAGCTGAAGTAAGGCAACTCCTCGATCTTTATTGCATTTAGAGAATCGGAGGCTAGAATTAATCCATTAAAAGTGTTTGTTTGCATGAGTGATTAGCAATCTACTGTTCGGACCAAAATATTTGGTCCATGAGTTTTCAAATAGTCCAATCTACTTTTCCAACCATAATACTACATGACATAACTATATTCTTTTTTTATATATAAAGTAAGGGTAATAATTGTTATACTACAGGAGTCTAGTATATTTCAAGTGATCGGTCGTTAGATCTCTTCTTTTGAACTTCGGCCTATTTCAACGGTCAATTAATATTTTTAATAAATTAAATTTCTGGTTTGAGTTTAGAGAATCGGAGGCTAGAATTAATCCATTAAAAGTTAGAATATAATATCATATCCCAAACTCGATTCAATTCATAATCTAGATATAAATATCTCGCTAGTAATACCATGAGTATATTATACTCAGCAGTACACTCATTTGACAATACACCCGTCTGACGCATAAAGTAAGTAAATTTTTTAGGGTTAATTGCAAGTTTGGTCACTGAGATTAGTAAAAAGGTTCATGTTTAGTCACTAGAAATATTTAATTCCGTTCGTAGTCACTAAAATTAATAAAACAGTTCAAGTTTGGTCACTCTCCGTTAGATTTCGTCCGTCTCCGTTAACGAAGACCGTTATGTGCTGACGTGGCAAACAGAAATGCCTAATCAGCCTAATATAACCCGAAAATAATGTAACCTGACCCGCCACATCACTAAGACCTGCCACATCATCTTGTCTATCCCAACCAACCCTTAAAATGGACTGAAATACCTACCAATGAACCGACACACTCAAACAAATATCCCATTTTCCTTTCCAGATCTAAAACTCATTCTTCGTTTGTCTTGCTCTCCTTCGAAATTGGATCCGGACGGAATCGCCTGCCCTCTCTCGCCTCCTCCTCCGCCTCTCTCTCTCTCTCTCTCTCTCTCTCTCTCTCTCTCTCTCTCTCGCTCGTTATATACGGAGCAGCCTTATCAGACCATCGACCTTCTTCTTCCTTTGTTCTCTTTGATTCAAGGGTTTATCTGAAATTTCACTGTCTGGGTACTTCAGAATTCGCAGTGCTAGTTTCATAGCTTCATATCCTACATGGTTTTGGGAAGATGTATTCTTAGCCACAATCGGCACTTGCAACATTTCTGCAGTCCGCCTCTTGCCAATTTGTGATCCAACTTCCAAAACCAGGATCAATTTTGGTCATGGGTTCCGATGGCACCGCTGTGGGTTCGCCCCAATAATGGCCAATTCAGTCTCTGATGACGCTTCGTTCCTCCTCCCCCTGTCTCGTCGATTCGACTCCCCGCTGCACCTCCGCAGTTCCCCTGCCCGAGCTTCCGTCTCCATGACTTCCGAACTCTCCCGTGCCGCTTTCTTTTCCGTCATCGTCGATTGGAGCCCACCCTGCTATCACTAGACATCCATCTCCATCTGAAGCTGAGCTGCTCACCCACAAACGGACCCCACCTCGTGCAAATGGTCAGGATCGCGGTCGAAGGTAGCCGCCAAATTAAAGGAGGAAGCTGAAGCCGCTTCCGCTACTCTCCACCTCTATCGGTGATCTGGATCTAGTGAATCCCCTGCCGTCCATCAGTCCCAGATTTTGAATGATCCAATTCCACAAGGAGACAGAGATCGATAGGAAGTAGAGAGTGAGGAGGCGTAGGAGACTGAGACCGCTGGAGTGATGAAGGCTTTGGCGGCAGCTAATCCTCTTCCTTGTCGGTGTTCCCAATCGCGACGAAGGGTTTGTGATGTAAAAGTGAGGCGAGATTTAGGTCAACTTTGCCTAAGATGTTAAAGAGAGGGTCGGGTCGATGGTTTAATCGAGTTGGTTTAGGTTATCTAGTAGATATGATGTGGCGGATCGGGTTATATGATGTGGCAGGTTAAATTGGATGATTAGAGATGTCTGTTAGCCACGTCAGCAAAAAACTGACGTCGTTAATAGAGACTAACGGAAGTTATCGAAGAGTGACCAAACTTGGATTGTTTTACTAATTTTAGTGACTACGAACGGAATTAAATATTTCTAGTGACTAAACATTAACCTTTTTAGTAATCTTAGTGACCAACCTTACAATTTACCCAAATTTTTTACCTCATAGCAATCTTGCCGAAAGAGATAAAGAAGGTAAAAGGAAAGCAGCCCAAAGCAGTGAAGTGCCAAACTTGAAACCAAAGTTGAAAAATAAAAGCCCAATACCAAAAAGGAAAAGGCTGGAAAACCTGACCAAACCTAGGAGAAAAATTAATAGAGGGAGTGTCACACTGTCAGGTCTCGTCGTGAATATAACCCATTATTTATTTCAATTTCGAACCAACAATCATCAAATTTATCAAACCCTAAGAATTATCTAATGGTGAAGTGAGAATCAACGACAATTATCAGGAGGGTAAAAGCTATCCAAGTTTTTTTCCTAGTGATATTTTTAATTCATTTTGATTTATAACTCAAGAGGGATAAGCTATCCACACTTGCAAGAAGTCAGAAACCAACAATGAATCATATGTTTATAATACTTCTTCATTTGGGTAGATGAGATTTTGCATTTACTCACTAAGTACTAAGTACCAAGTGGGAAATTTTACATATAAAGTAAATATATAAATTAGCCAATCAATCTAGTGAGCGAGGAAAGTGAAAACCCACCAAAGCCTTACCAATTCATTTGATTTTTCTTCCTTGGTGAGCCATATAGCAATAATTTTGAGTGGTAGTTTCATAAAGATAACGCCTTTCCTTTTGGGTTGTTCATGGTTACAAGCAAGAGGCCCAAGACAAAGAAAAAATTGATCCATGAATAGGGCTTCTTTTCTTTTTATAAGTAGTTTCCCTTCCATCTTTGGGGTTCTATGTGTAAAGCTTCTTAGCATTCCTCTTCCTTTCTTCTTTTTTGCCTTTGAGGGGAACTAGAGAAACACTAATAAAAGAATGGAGAAGCTATGGAGGCCATTAGGTCACCTCTTCCTCACTTTCTTTCTCTACAACTTCGGAACGTTCATGGTGGCTCCAACCATAACCGACGTCACCATGTTTGCAGTCTGCCCTCACCAACCGGAGTGCTCGATCGCCATTTACCTCACTGGATTTCAACAAGCGGTATTTGTTTCTTACTTCTTCCTTCTTCTCCTTCTCCTCAATGCTCCTAGATATAGAGTAAATGAGCTTCAAACATGTCGCAATACAAAAGCCATAGACTAAAGTGATCGCTCCAACATTATCATTCTATACAACTCTGTTGATACCTAGCTATAACGGCGATCGTTTAGTGACGTGATAAGACAAGGTGTAAGTTCTTAGATGGAGGAGTCTAGCTTTCTGTACTATCTCTCGCTTTGTTTTCCATTTCTAGGAGACTTGTTTAATAGGTGGAGACATTCTTGTGATTTTTGCTCATAGGAAAACCCGACAAGAAGCAAACTATAGCATTTGACAATTTAGTTTTAACGGTTAGCCTTTGTCTGTCAATTAATTAAACTCTACAAAATTGCATAGTTCTTAGCTCTGACTCACCAGTCACCATGTAAACGTATGCAAAGTTAATACCTTGATCAGCCTCTCTGTTATTAGCCTACTTCTTTCTTGCTTTTCACGTTACTGTCAGCTTAAGGAGAAAAGCATATGTTAGATAAATCTAGGGCTGAAAATTGGCCCGACCCGCCCCTGACCCTGTCTGACCCGCCCCTGAAGGGTCAAGATGTATAACTGACCCGCCCCGACCTTGTTTCTTTCATGACCCTGTCTGACCCTTTAGGGTCGGGGCGGGTCAGGAAGGGTCGGGTCAGTGGGTCGACCCTAATAAATAGACTACTTTTCTAAAAATTACAATTTGGTACCCGAATTTATTTTTTCTTACATTTTAGTACCTAAATTTTATTTTTTACAAATAAGTCCCTAAAATTTGATGGTAAAATTACGTTTTGGTACCCAAATTTTTTAATTTTTACAATTTAGTACCTAAACTTATAAAATTTTACAAATAGGTCCAACATGTTTGTATGATGCTAAGGGTCATAGGGTCAAAAAGTGACCCGACCCTTAATTGACCCGACCCTATCTGACCCTGACCCGACCCTAAATTGACCCTATAGACAAACTGACCCAGCCCAACCCTGAGGGTCGGGGCGGGTCAGTGGGTTTTAAGGGTCAAACTTACACCCCTAGATAAATCCAATAAGCACTAGGTTTAGTAGTATACCATCCATGGTCATGATTAAGGCAAACGGGATGTTGGCCTGGGTTCGAGCTCTGAATGGTTTTAGACGATTTTGGCCTCCCATTATTACTGCGTCAACTTTTAATACGAGTTTTTCTAGTTAGCATTTGAGGTGTCATTATGACATGCATGGACTCACGGTGGCTCGAACTTGACATTTGAGAGGTTTTTATTGTGACCTCGATACAGTCTGGACAGGGGCATCATGTGAATATGATATAAACAGTTCATGGTAGGTTAGAAACTCAAGTTTAAGGCTAAATCCCACTTTTTCACTTGTATAGATAACATACTTTCCCAAGGTGAACCCAATGTTATAATGGATGATATCATCATACTTTATTCTCATTTCTCTCGTTTATCTAACGAGGGTAGAGAAGCTTTTGCCAGGATTTTGCTCCTCTTACTACGTAGCCATCACCTTATGTTTTGTCAAACCGTTACAACTTTATAGAAAATCTAGATCTCTGGCAATTTTATATTTCAGTAGCACTTGGGGAGTTTAAAGTTGTTCCAATAATAACTAGTCGATATACACGAATCAAAAGTCGACCATCTAAAATTCTCATATTCAAATGGATTTTTGTGAGTTCTTTTGGGTGCAGGTGATTGGGCTAGGGACTCTATTTATGATGCCATTGGTAGGGAATCTATCAGACAGATATGGGAGAAAAGCTTTGCTCACTCTTCCTATGAGCCTTTCCATTATCCCTTTGGGTAAGCAAACCCCCAAAACTTGACTAATCGTCAATTTTCTTCTTATTCATGCCTTTCCTTTTTGGTTTCATCAGTTTGAAGTATGGAATCTCAAAAATGGATCTCATCAATGATCCATGCAAAACTAACTGTAAATAATAATAAAAAAAATTCTTCTTCTTTAGGTGGGACTTGAGAAATGGATGATAAGAGTTGGTTAGTCACTGTGACTTCGTTTGACTTTTAAAGAAAAGTGGGCATTATAACTTTTTTTTACTACTAATTAAGTATTATAACTTTAGGTGGCGGTTCTTACTTCCTGGAGTGGACAATGGATAATTTAGCCGAAAATGCTTATTATAAATTCGTAAGTGGTAGTTAAAATTGAATTGGTTGACCAACTAAGGAGGGGGGAAAAAACATACGTGTGAATTTAGCTTCCTTCAAGAAAATAAACCCCTAGCTGATGAACAAAGCTACCTTTGGACTCCAAAAGTGAGACATAATCACCCTATAACTTGCATTATGCCTATTACTCGTATTTTGGAGTAGATGAAGTGGATGAATCACGAAGTGGATGCCTATCACAGCTTCCCGCTAAAGTTGATTTGCATGCGGATCATAAATTAATAAAACATAATTTAGTTTCGTATGGATTGGACTTATCATCGTTCTCCTAGTAAGATTTCGTTTTTTATTAAGATGCGAAAAAATTTACTGAAGACCTCATCTTTTTTCACCGTTATCGTTTGGTTCCTTTCGCAGCCATATTGGCGTACAGCAGATCCAGGAACTTCTTCTACGCTTACTATGTGCTTAAGACTCTCACTTCCATGGTTTGTGAAGGAAGTGTTCAGTGCCTTGCTCTCGCCTACGTGGTAATTCCCCTTCTCCCCCACTTTATGGGCTTTTGCCCTACAATCGACTGGCTCAATCGTTGGGTACGTTAATATGCTCAGTCCTAAAAAAACACGGGTCAGTTATAAATTGCAAGTATTGAGGCCTTGCATGAATGGGCCGACAGCTGATAGTGAAGGCCCATTATCTGATAATAATTGTGATCCAGCCCACTTTCTTAAAGCCTATCCGTTTTTTTTTTTTCCTTCTCACATTGCAGTGATGACAAAAAAACTCGAACACACGTGTACTCACCCGACCAAACCCGATCAACGCTGGTAAATCCGTGTTGACGGGTTTTGGACCAAGTTTGGGTTTAAAACCGTTCACTATTCATCGGGTTGGGTTGGATTTAGATAAAACCGGTCAATGGGTACCCGCTCACACTCATATAATTAATTTTCTCAATATATTTAATATTCTAAAGAACTAATTGTGTAGAATGAAGTTGATGTTATCGAGTGGAGAGTGAAGAAACTTAATTGAAAGGAAGAGTCTTTCAATTAATCATGTTATTTATGGATAATTTGTGATTTGTTTCAATTTTCTTGAGTTTTCTAGATTATTGTTGAACAATTTGTATTCATTTGTGATTTGCTTGAATTTTCTAGAAAGGTGTTTTATATATGGATAATTTGCATTGAGAGATTGATATTTGACTTTAATTTTGATAGGAACTTGTTATTGTTAATTTTTTACAACAAAAACCCGTGGGTACCCATGAACCCGCGGATACCCAGCAAGTCGGGCTGGATTTGAGTTTTTCAAACCTAGTAATTTTATTCCGATTTTTAATTTCATAAATAAACCCATAAATTTAGTTTTGGCAAAACCCGACCCCTTGCTATCCCTAATTGCTTCCCTCCAAAATTACCGTCGTCGTCAAAACTTTACAGTGGTTTCTACCAAAAGAAACGTTCTTACTTCTTAGTTCTTGCTACTCAGGCGGACAATGTCCCGGTGCGACGGCGGGCGGCGGCGTTCGGGATCCTCTCCGGGATCGGATCGGCAGCGTTCGTGTGCGGGACCTTCATAGCTCGGTTCCTCTCCACTGCTTCCACTTTCCAGGTGGCGACGGCCGTTGCGATCGCCGGAACGGTCTACATGAGGATTTTCCTTCCCGACGTAGCCGTCGAGGAAAGCCTCAAGACGCCGATTCTCTGCCGAGGAAAGGAGAAGATCGTAGCCGATTTCCCGAACGAGATCTCTCCAATTAAGAGCGAGCAGATATTCAAATCGAGGCCTTCCCTGCGAGACATGCTCACCATGCTGCAGAGCAGGTTCGCTTTCGAGCTTTTCATCCTGTTGTTTCCATTGTTCAAATAGATCGATTTGAATCCTGAAGTTTGCTTCCTCGACTTCGCAGTAAGATTTTCACGCAGGCGGCCGTTGTTGCATTCTTCCTCAGCCTTTCAGATGCCGGCTTTCAAGCCTCCGTAACGGTATATCTCCCAGGGGTTGTCCCCTCGCTATTTATACGCTTATCTGAACAAAATTTAACCGATTCACTTGTTTCTGTATTTTCAGTACTACCTGAAAGCCGAATTCCACTTCAATAAGGATCAGTTCGCAGATTTAATGGTGATTTCCGGGGTCGCTGGCACAGTTTCACAGGTACATAGATGACTTTTTTTCAACTTTTTGAATTGCATGCCCACAAGGTGTTTGTTTATTTTCCTCAATGAGCTTACAACTGGGAAGTGAAAATGCTTTGTTGCAGCTAATTGTGATGCCAATATTAACTCCATTCTTAGGAGAAGGGGTTCTGCTTTCAGTTGGACTTTTCTTCTCTTGTGCCCATGTAAGCTTCATGTTCCGCCGCATTTTCATATCTCATTCTCACAGTCACAGCCGCCTCATTCACTAACCTTTGAGCTCTTAATCTTGATTGCAGATATTTCTCTACAGCGTTGCATGGTCTTTCTGGGTACCTCAATTTCTTTTCATAACTGATGTTTAGAATATGATGAATGCCTTTACAGATGGCTAACCTTTTCAATGATGTACATGAACAGGTCCCTTATGCTGCCTCTATGCTCTCCATTTTCTTTGTTTTCTCACAACCATGTGTAAGTTCGTCTCCTCGGTCCTCATCGAGCTCTCTATCCATTTCTCCATGCCCATATTCCCTAACGAACTTCTTCTCGTCCTTTTTTTAGATGCGGACCATTGTGTCGAAGCAAGTCGGTTCATGTGAGCAGGTAATTCCAGTATACATAACGAAATTATATCTCAACTGAAACAGGGAAATTTTGCTGTGGGTGATTGATCTGGGTTTCCTCTTTCCTCTTTCAGGGAAAGGCTCAAGGATGCATATCAGGGATTTCTTCATTTGCAAATGTTGTAGCTCCCTTAGTTTTCTCTCCATTATCAGGTAATGCACCTCTGATTTACACCCTTCGTTACTTCACCTAACTACAAAACTAACCAAATCCGATGTATCTTCACTTGGCAGCTTTGTTTCTCTCTGACAATGCACCATTCGATTTCCCCGGTTTCAGCATCATGTGCGTTGGATTTGCAATGGTAAGCGAGCTTATCAGGATGCATCATTGTCAATCCATCTAACGTACCAACTTCTAAACTTGACACATGATTTTTGGTTTCACAGATGGTAGCCTTCGTTCAGAGTCTCATGATTAGGGTTCCTCCTCCCATTGCAGAAGAGAGAGTCGATAATCCGAACCACGTTGATTCCTACGCATGACCTGTAGTTTCCCTTAGATAATCGACGATGATAAGTTAGTTATTGGAAGCTCTAAGTTGGCATTTTCACATTCCTTTTCTCTGTGTATATATTTTTTGGGGCTCACTGGAATAATCTCGGCCTCCGGCGAGGGAAACAGGGCGCCAACTCGAGGGCAAATGCATTGTCCATGAAACCGTACCGTACCGGAGGTTCAACCACGAAATACTAGTATCGGAGGCTAAACCGGTAGGCGGTATTTACCGGTATAACGGTTGAACTACGATTAAACCACGGTTTTATCATAAAGTACCTTACCGTTGACTTTCCCGATACGGTATCCGGTACGGTTTCATGGACCATGGGCAAATGTGAGGACATGTGGGGCGGTTTTGTTTTGTTTTTTGGTTGATCTTATCTTCACTTCGAAAGGGTGACTTTTTCTGTGCATTCATTTTTCCGAGTAGTACATTGAATTTATTTTAATTTTGATCGTTGAGAATATCTAAAGGTTAAAAGCATATGTTTATTTATTAAAATAATTTAAATTTATTAACAATTTCAAGTTTGTCGCTAATGCATTTGAAAACAAACAACCCTAAATCATCTGAAAAAAGCAATTCCCATAAGATGAATTGTCGTCGCCCTCCCTGAAAACTTTAGTGTAAAATAAGAGATTTTGGGAGAGAATCTCAGCAGAAAACTGAGTTCTCTGTAGCTTTTATAGCTACAATGATCATTAACGAATTGTTCCACTTGTCCTTACACAATAGGCTTTTAATTTTAAACAAACAGTAAATACTAACGGCTAAGTACATAATGAAAACGTTGTTGTTCCTTCCTTTCTTCAGCAAGACCTTCTCTTCTTCAGGACGACGTCGTCCTTCATTTGAACCCACTTCCTTCTAATCCAAGATGCATCAGGATTGTGTTCTGCAACAAGCAACTGCATTTCTTCCATTCTGTCACTCCCCAAACACAGTCTTGTAGCCGGTCAAGTGATTCTGACGGTGACTCCGGCCATCAAGAACATTCCACTTGATGATTCCCATTCATCAAATCCCTTGTAAACCATGCCTAACACGTGTTGACTGATGGAGTCGTCAACGAGCCGGAAGCTCCAAGTGGGAGAAGTACGGCGAGATAGATCTGAAGGTAGTCGTCGAGTTGGAGAGGGAGGCATGGTTTGAAATGGATGGTTTTGTTTGCGGGTTTGAGACAAGGGGAGTCAGAGTGAATTGGTTGTTTTGATTGGGAGAATGAAGGGTGTATTGCAGCCGAGGAGGGAATCGAGAACTTGGACGACGACGGGGACTTGGAAAGGGAGACGTGTAGTAACATTTGTCGGGGGCAAGATTTTTCAAAGCAAGCTTACAAGTAGATTGAGGAAAACCTAGAAATTAGAATAATGCTATCATAACGGGTTCGGCCTTCGGGGTCTTGGTCGGACTGAGATTGAGCGGCATATTCTTGTGTTTTGAGGACTGCGGTGATCGGCGATCTACATGTTTTCCGCGAAAACCAAATACCACCGCCTGCGCCGAATGACTTCGGGCGGTGTTGATTTGATTGTTTCGATGTGGAAACCTTTGCGGTGGCGTTTGATCGGACGCACCACTGAATGTTTAAAACAACGTGACCATCAAATATCCACCGCCGGGCGTCGAGCGATGTTGATTTGATCGATGCACCTCTGAAAGCTGAAATCAACGTGACCGTCAAATATCCACCGTCGGGCGATGTTGATCTGATCGATGCACCTCTGACTTCTAACCAAGAACGACCATTAATCGGTCCACACCTCTCCAAACAATGTTCGAACGAGGGTGTTTGAGTTATTGAGGAATCTACGTTACGACTACTCCTATGGAGATTCCTGTGGAGAGCTCCGCGACTACGACCACTGCTATGACTATGGAGATCCTTCCTGTAAGGAGAGCTCCGTGACGGAGTTACAGAGAAAAAATGTTAGGAACATAGTTGTTCTATGTTGATTTTTGGTTGTCCCCTTCTCTCTCCTTGCTTTGGTGGTTTTATTTGAAATCACATGCGTAGCCTTCACGCTCAGTGGAATCGCTTCCTCAACTGCTCCGTCATGAATTCCCACATGCTCCATCCTTCTTCACGAAGTTGTAGTCTTCAACTGCCTCGCATCCGTTCTCCAATCTTCCTTGCGTAGAAGTCACGTGCGCCCACATCAACTTTGTACCACCACGGTTCGAATCACGGCACCACCATCGATTAAACAACACTGTTGTTTCACCCCTCACCACCGCATACTCGCCGCAAGGTTGTATCTCTCGGCGTCGTTGACCACACACCACCGTTGCAACTCGCATCATCGTTGATCTCGCAATGTCGTTGAACCTTGCGGCCACTTTGAGCTCTCCACGGCTTTGCCAAACTCCCAATGCCTTTCAGCTCACTAAATCGTTGGATCCACGACGTTGTTTAAATCTCACGATGCTGCTAATCTCGCGACATCGTTGAACTAGCGGCGTCGTTGAACTCCACGATGTTTCTTTGGTCTAAGCAACATCGTTTTTTTAATTCCATCCCTCGTAACCCAACGTTATTTGTTGGCGCTGATTCACAACCTAGTTGAATTGCGGCATCATGCTGAACTTGCAGTGCCGTTGAAATTTTTTATCACGCGGCGTCGTTGATCTCGCGACGCCACTGAACTTGACATCGCTCACCGCCGTCGCGATGTTATTTAGCTCGTGACATCGTTTTCCTTGCGACGCCGCATTACTTTAATATGGAGCCAAAAATATTTTAAGTGTAAACAATGCCCCACAACTTAGTTTATAAGAATCAGCTCTTATAAACTAAGTTGTTAACATAATATAAATCACCTAAAATACTCATTAATCTGGCCACCAATTCACTTTTGTGCAAATCTAACTGGCCAAATAATCCATCATCTTGCATTTTGGCTTTTCTTTGCCAAAATGATCAAACCAACGCAGTAGCTAGCCTTCACCAAAGACCTTAGTGAATTTGTTGGTGTTCCGCAACGCTACAGCGGCGACACAACTTTGTTTGGTCCAAGTAATATGGCTTTAAACCATTACCAAGATCAATTTTTATTATTATTATTATTATTATTATTATTATTATTATTTTACTTGCCACTGACGCTGCAACAATCACTTCAGGGTTGTTTGCTCTCTTTCTTTGCCCGCAATGTTGCGGCAAGTTCCCAATGCCGCTTGGACTCTTTTTTATCACCCACCATGACCTCAGAGAAATAAAATAAAATAAATTCATTTACTTGCAACATTGTTATCTCACCGTAATAGCTTTTCCTCCGCAGCGTTGTTTAGCCAAATTTTACGTAGCAGCATTTTTGTTAGCCTAAACTGTCACGTTTTGACCCCAATATAACTTCTTTTTTCTCCAACCAAAGAGCCAATTAAATTATAATTTGACCAAATTAAATACCCACAACTTTGCTTTACCTCTCGCCACGGCTGTGACGGGCTAATGCCATGCTCCTTTTCCTTTTATTGCAACAATGCAGCAGCTAGCTTGCAATGCTGCTTGACTAATTCAAAACACACTTGTTTTCCATGCCGCAAAGCTACAACCGAAAAGCAACTCTGCTTTGCTTTTTGTTATAGTTTTATATATATATAACTTGGCCAAGTTGGCTTTGCGGCCAACAACAAGAATTTTTTATTTATTTAAAAAACCTCAACAACCCAACCCTTCCTTTGGCTTTTCCTTGCCCAACGCTACAGAGGGCAATTTGCTTTTATTATTTCATTATTATTATTATTATTATTATTATTATTTTAATCCCCAAAGCTGCAGTGGTAAAGACTACAAGGCATAGCTGTCCGGGGTGACGCTGTTTACAGCAGCATTGGTTTTTTTTCTTTTTTCAAACAGCTCTGATTTTCTTCTTTTCCTCCAACATTGCGGAAAGCTTTCCAGAAACGCTTGTACTCCTTTTTTTTTTCTCACAACGTTGTGTTTCCCTCAACGATGTTGAGAAAATAGACAACAACATCGTTGATCATCTTGAACTATTGCCAACAACGTTGTAGCTTTTCCTTAGCATCGTTGAACTATGCAATGTTGCATTGGTCTAAATAACATCGTTTTTTAATACCACTCCCTCATAACCCAACGTCATTTGTTTGCACTGATTCACAACCTAGTTGAATTGCGGCATCGTGCTGAACTTGCAATTCCGCTGAAATTGTTTATCACGCGGCGGCGTTGATCTCGCGCGCAGCTGAACTTGACATCGCTCACCGTCGCGATGTTATTTAGTTCGTGACATCGTTTCCCTTGCGACACCATTACTTTAATATTTGAGCCAAAAAAATTTTACGTGTAAACAATGTCCGTCCCCCCCCCCCCCCCCCACAACTTAGTTTATAAGAACTAGTTCTTATGAACTAGAGTTGTTAACATAATATAAATCACCTAAAATACTCATTAATTTGGACACCAATTCACCATTTTTGTGCAAATCTAACTGGCCAAATAATCCATCATCTTGCATTTTGGCTTTTATTTGCCAAAATGATCAAACCAACGCAGTAGCTAGCCTTCACCAAAGACCTTAGTGATCATTCCATGGCTTTTTTTCTTCCCTTTGTGGTTGTTTTCTCCCCCTAATGTGGGTTGAACTTTTGGTCCTCTGATCTGTTTGTTCAGATCTGGAGATGTATTGTGCTAAATAGCAAAGGAGGCTTGATTCGGTTGAACTGCTCTTCTTCAAACCCTTCGTCTACCTCCTTGTTTTGCCTTGCAGATCTGGGTGATTCGGAGATGTGGCCGTTGACGTTGGCTTGGACTCGGCTTGAAGTTCTTGGAGACAGAAGATCATTCTCATGGCTTCGCCACCGATCGTCCTTTCGACACGCGTTCTCTTCGGTGCTCTAGGCTTCGGGGAGAAGTTGTTGTTTGGTCCGATGAAGGTTGGTCGGAGGTGGCTCGGTTGTTCCCGTCTCCCTTTGTTCGGATTGGGTGCTCTAGCGCTTCCTTTTCATCATCTCCGACTTCTGTTGGTGGGGGAGTTGTTGCTTGCAGATCCAGTGGCGGTGGGAGTCATGGGGGAGCATCACCAGCTAGGGTTTGGGGAGTAGATCTCTTAGTTGGGCTTCTGGGTCTGGGCCCTATTGGGTAACCGACCATTTGTATGGGGCTTGGCCTTTGGGTCTGCTTTTTCTTTCTTTGGCTGATTATGCTCTCTTGTTCTTTTCCTCTGGGCTTGGCCCATTTGCTATTTAATGAATCCATTTGTCAAAAAAAAAAAAAACCAAAGACCTTAGTGAATTTGTTGGTGTTCCGCTACGCTGCAGCGGCGACACAACTTTGTTTGGTCCAAGTAATATGGCTTTAAACCATGACCAAGATCAATTTTTTTTTACTTGCTGCCGACGCTACAGCAATCATTTTAGGGCTATTTGCTCTCTTTCTTTGCCCGCAATGCTGCGGCAAGTTCCCAATGCCGGTTGGACTCTTTTTTATCACCCACCAGCAGTGCGACCTCAGAGAAATAAAATAAAATAAATTCATTTACATGCAACATTGCTATCTCACCGTAACAACTTTTCCTCCGCAGCGTTGTTTAGCCAAATTTTACGTAGCAGCATTTTTTGTAGCCTAAACTGCGCCGTTTTGACCCTAACAGAACTTCTTTTTCTCCAACCATAGAGCCAATTAAATTATAATTTGGCCAAATTAAATACCAACAACGTTGCTTTACCTCTCGCCACGGCTGTGACGGGCTATGTCATGCTCCTTTTCCTTTTATTGCAACGCTGCAGCAGCTGGCTTGCAATGATGCTTGACTAAATCAAAACACACTTGTTTTCCATGCTGCAAAGCTACAACCGAAAAACAATTCTGCTTTGCCTTTTGTTATAGCTTTTTTATATATAACTTGGCCAAGTTGGCTTTGCGGCCAACAACATGGATTTTTTATTTATTTAAAAAACCTCAACAACCCAACCCTTCCTTTGGCTTTTCCTTGCCCAACGCTGCAGAGGGCAATTTGCTTTTATTATTTCATTACTATTATTATTATTATTTTCGTAATTCACCAAAGCTGCAGCAGTAACGACTACAAGGCACAACTGTCCGGGGTGACGCTGTTTACAGCAGCATTGTTTTTTTTTTCTTTTTTCAAACAACTCTGATTTTCTTCTTTTCCTCCAACATTGCGGAAAGCTTTCCAGAAACGCTTGTACTATTTTTTTCCCTCACAATGTTGTGTTTCCCTCAACGGTGTTGAGAAAATAGACAACAACATCGCTGATCATCTTGAACTATTGCGTCGAGTTACGGGTTGGGTTACATGATGATCAGGTTATGGGTCAATCAGGTTCAGGTTACGAGTAGGTTACAGGTCATTGAATTTTGTCAAATGGGGTTATGGATGGGTTGTGGGTTGGGTGGCTTGGACGGGTTAGTCTGGTAGGGTTTTATTTTGACAGCTATACTGAAGAACTCACGTGTATGACCAAAAGTGTTTCATTGACGACTCTCATACCTTTCCCCTTCCCGAGCCCAAGTTTGAAGACCAATTCTCAAAGGTGACGGAGCAAGATAACCTTATCGAAGTTAATGCTTGGATACTTGCTATCCGAGATTTGCTTGAAGAAGAGTGAGACAGTTGAAAAAGAGGTTGAAGCAGAGGAAGTGAGAATTGAAGAAGAGGAAGATCTTAATTGTTCCCAAGGGGAGGAACATATTTGGGAAGAAGGAAGGGAGGGTTTTTTTTTTTTTTTTGAATAACGGAAGGGAGGTTGAAGATGCAAATGGTGTCCAATACGAGGACAAAGTCATGGTGGATGAAGCTTCTACAAGTTACAAGTGCCACAAAAGCTTTCTACCCAACCTTGATGCACTTTTAGCAAAGGACCCTTTTGCGGTTTCTCTTCGCCAAGCCGAGGTCAAACCATCATCAATCCCTCTTGATGGATTCAATGATGGTCAATCAAGATTGCATTACATGGTTTGGGACAAAGAGAAGAATGAAGAAGGAAAGAAGAAGAGGTCTCGCGGGTGGAGCCTCAAATGTAACCAAGTTCACGACCCGTTACCATCACTTTTCACATCATATGCTAGGGACTTGAGACACCACATCACCGACAAGAACCTCAACTTCAAAGAGGTTTTGGGATGGACCAAAACTTGAGCATCACCATCCGACTCATGACGCAAAAGAAGGGAATAGGTTAGGGCGATTACTCAATTTTGAGTAATCACGGTGGCTACCAACATCTATACCATTCATTATCTTTATTTTATTATATTTTTAAATTAACGATTAAGATTAGCTAAGGGTAATTTAGGAAATGAAAAAACATACCACACCTGATTACTCTATATATTATACTCAAACCCTAATACAACCCTACAACCGCCGCCGTCTCTCCCTTCTCCCACAACCGCCGACGTCTTCTCCCTTCTCCCCTCCTCCCTCGGACCACCCCAACCCCAGTACAGCTCTCAACCGGACCGACCCCCCCCCCCCCCCAAACAAGCATCAAGTGTTCTTCCTGTTAAATATAAATGAATGCCAACGTTGGCATCTAATACTACTAGTCTACTACAAAAGGACTTCTCCATTTCTTTATTCGCCAGAGAGAATTAGGCCAATACGATGGAATTTTACCAAATGGGATTGTAACCATTAGACACTTAATGGCCGGGTTGAGATACCGTCACTTCCCTTTAAGGGTTGTGAGATGCGCTACCCTCCTCCCAGCCATTAGATTCATTATCTCTCCTTCTTTTTTTTGAATGGAAGAAGGAGATTAATCAAGGGGTATATTTGGACGAAAAAAATAACCACATCAGATTTGTCTCCCCTAATAACTCTACATATTCCTCTCCTCTCTCTTTCTCTAACCCTAATAGATCCATCATCTTCTTCTCTCCTCTCATCTTCTGCCGCCATCACCATCTCCTTATCTCCTACGTCCAGCCACCATCGCCGCCGGTGCCCCCTCCGCAGCCCTCCCACAACTCTCAACCCCCTGTCGTGCCCTTCGTCTCCCCCTTCCTCCGCCTCCCACCACCACCGCCATGAGGTCCTCGTCGCAATCATCCACCTCCCTCATCCCATGCCGCCACCGTCGTGCCTCCTCTCCTTGCCTCTTGCGGTGTGAGAAAGCATATTTCCTCTCCTCCCTTTGTTTTTCAGATCTGCGAGTTTTGGATTTTTAGATCTGGTTTTTTTCTAGTGGTTTTTTTCTGATAGTGGTACTAGATGTAGTGGTACGCTACCACTACCATCTTGTAGCAAGTAGCGGTATCGTACCACTATCTTTTGGTACCTGGTAGTGGTAGCGTGCCACTACCAGGTAATGGTACTAAATGACAGTGGTACTCTACCAGCTACCAGGTGGTAGTGGTACCAGTGTAGCAGTAGCGTACCACTAGCGCACTGATGGAGCGATAATTGCAGGTGGCCGGAGTGAGTCTTATTCAAGGATTTCGCCGGAGAAAGTATGTCGGCCGCAAAGTCAGCCAGTTGGAGTGTTGTGGCTGCTAGAAAAGGAAGAGAGAGATAGGAAGAGAGAGAGTAATATTTATTGTAGGATTTATATTTAAAAAAGCATGTATTTAATATGGGTTTTTAATTCACAATCTGTAATTAATACAAAACACTACTAGAATTACCACTTATAGCTACGAAGTATTGCCATGAACAATCCTATTGTAACTAATAAAAGCTAATAACTACGTAAATTGTTTCCCGTAGCTATTGACAAAAGTTTTAGCTACAATTTTCTTTACTTGTGGCTATTTTGGTATTTTGCTTTAAATTTGGAGGAGTATGGCAAGTTAGCCATACATTTTCAAGCTTTGCTATTCCATCGTAGCTAATTATTGTATTTAGTTACAGATGATACTTCCTTCTGGCAACAATAATTATAACATCCAACTTTTAGCTACAAAAAGCAAGATTGTAACTGTTTCAATGATAATTAGCTAAGAATTTCAAAGTGACGTAGTTAATGTTTTTATGAGCTTGCTCAACGATGTCATATATCCACAAAAATGATAACATTATATAGGAATACAATTAAAAATTGATAACAATATATAGTAATCCAATTATTTAACTTGATGTCACCGTTTAAATTGAAATACTGACTTTTTTATTAAGTTTAAACTAGCAAGAGCTACAAAGTCGCAAAAAAATAAAAATAAAAATAAAAAGCAAAGAGCTACAAAATAAATTTCAATCTTAATTCATATCAGAATATAAATATACAAATCTCCATAATATTTTTAGTTATACGGAAAAAATTATTATGACTCAATAACAAAAGAATTATCAATCTTACTAACTAGACATGCAAAAAAATTCTTTTATCAGTAATATATATTTATGCCTTAGGCTTCTTCACTCCTCCCCACTACGATTCATCTCTCTGCATCCTCCGACTTGTCATTTTCGTTCATCATCAACGACGGAGCAAGTGAAGACCTCTTTGTGATGCATTTCCATGCTTGACCCTTGTTCCTTTTCGATTAGTAATCAATTAAGGAGATGCAGATAGAAAAGGAACAGAGTATCAAAACCCAGGTATGAGGTATATATGAGAGACCCACACTTTAAAAACCAGGTATATATTATTCTCGTGTTTACAAGCGATTATATTTTGAACTAGATCATCGACTCCAGTATGCTTAGGAATCAATATCGATATTCCAATATTATTGAGCCTTTCGTTGATATATAGGGTGATTCCTAAGTTTTTTTTTCAAACTAATCTTTTCCTGACATTTGTGCAGGTCAAAGTGTTGAAGCACAAGAGAAGATAGTGGACGATGATAAAACATTGCCAATAATAAAGACATTTTGTAGATTTTTATTTACGTTCATATAGCAGATTGCAATTTTACCGTGTATAAAATCCTATAATTTAATGGAGTGTATCCTTTCGATCTGTTTTGGATCTTGATGTTCAATTTGTTTTTACTAGATGTGTACGGATATAGATAGTGTCCTTGGATTTAATTCCAAAAGAAACATATTCTAGGACATCAATCTCCACAAACGGCAACTATGACGAAATTACAGAGATTATTATTTGCTAGACAGATTGCGGAAAAGATATTTAACGTATCATAATTATTATTTCCACAAAAAAATAAAATCAAAATTTAATTTCAAGCAAAGGTAATTTTTGAAATATTGTACGAAATTTTCGTTTACAGTTTCCTACAGGAATCTTTCCACCGAAGAAAAATAAATGATTTGATGCAGTTATCACTATGGAACCATATATTATTCGAATTTGGTTATTATTAATAATTTTTGAAAATATGATTTAATCAATTACGACAATTTCTTCTGAGCATTTTGCTATGATTAAATGCAATTGTAGCTGTATGCAAAATTTTAGGTACACAACCAATTACTTTCGTGGCTAACTTTTAGCTGCGACATAGGGGGAAGTGACTGTATCCCGCCCCTTAATGGCCTATTCTTCATGAGGGATCCAAGAAAAATAGTTATTAAGGCCACATATTTTCCTTATACCCTTTCTTAATAAGGATGGTTTTGAGTAATTAATATGTTTGCTTCATAAATTTAAAAAATGAGGGTTTTGGAAAATCATGGATATATGATGGATTTGCTGGCATTATGAATTTGAACAAGTCTATTATTTGCTTGTTGCATATGATTATGGATTTGGTTTGATTAGATTTGTGTATATGAAATACAAATTACCTTGTTACCCTTATCTAATTATATTTCTATATTATAATCCAAAGTTTTCATTAAAAACAAATTCAATACGTACAAAGAAATTTTAAACTCTTTAACACTATGTGGAGTAATAATTCAACTACACATATAGATATGTATTACAAATTGGGACTAATTAACAATTCTTCTAATAATGTACGCAATATTATGTATCAATTGAAACCAGTTGCTCGCCTTATCGCCACAACTCATCATCTTCTTGCAAACTCCCCGATTTTGGAATCCAATAGTCAATAAAATAATCTAATAATAAAATACGACATACAAACAAAATGATAATCATTATAAAAAAGAAACGATAAATTCTCATATTTATAAAATATGACATATAAAAGTTTATAGTTGCATAATCATCGAAATAAAACAGGAAAAATTTGTAATTAAAAAAATAAGTAAGGGTAGATGGGTAAAGTATCATCATGAATTTTAATTCATCACCCAAATCCCACTTCAAGTGGTGGAACTTTCAAGTCCGTGAGTTCCACGAATTTGGACCCCTAAAGTCTGTGGGGCCTATAAATTCCATCTTCCTAATTCCCCAAGGCAAAAGATGAATTTTTGTTCAAGTCTATGATAAATAAATTTCCATGACTAAACCATCATCAGAACCCTCACGTAGAAAAAGAATGTGCTTTCCTAAAAGTTAGAAAGTCAAATCCGTGAAGACTAGATGTGAAATCAATTGATTTTAGAATTTCTATATGAATAATAAATCAAAAGTGGGAAAGTAAATGTATTGACCATTTCTATGGCAAATAGATTGGATCTATGGATTGGTGGATTGGATCCATGGATCAAGTAAATTAGATCAAATGGATTATTGGATTCATCATATGGATTGGTGGATTGATTCATGAATCCAAAATGACATCCAAGTGGTAGATCAAAATGTAAATTTTGAAAAATTTAGATAGTAAAATGTCATAATGATAAATTTTAGGTACCAAAATGTAATTTTTCAATGATATTTTTCGTATAAAATAATAAATTTCAGGTACTAAATGTAAAATATGAAAAATATAGATACTAAATCATAATTTGTCATTTGGATCTATAGATCAATCCATGAACCCACCGATCCAATTGAATTTGAATCAAATGGATTGAATTTAAATAGATTAGATTAGTTTTATATTTAACTGGATATATTGAATTGGTGGAATGGAAATTGCCATGCAAAAAATTATGTGCTTGACTACTTGGTAGACAGAGTTTTACAGTTGTTTGCGCCCTTACTCAATTCGAACTAATTAAACCGAATCACGAAAACAGGGCCGTGGAAGAAGAACATAATAGCTCTAATGAAGTCCAATCTAAGTTTCCTCCTGCCTCTCGTCTCACCGGAGAGGACGATTCACAATCTTACTCTGCCTGAACAGCTTGCTTGCTTGCCTCTGAGTTTATCGACTCTGGAATTCCTATTTAGCGATTCCTTCTACCACTACGTCGATTGGAAGAGACCACCGTCCACCCATCATCATCAGCATCATCTATTGTCCGAGGAACTACTGCAGAATCCACCATCATCATATTATCATCTCCACCACTTCCCGACGAAGCATCATCCTCATCATCATCATGGTCGTCATCCTATTACAAATCACAGAAAGGAAACTAAGAGCTAATTCCAGGAGCCACCATCACAGCAATTTTTTGCAGCAGACCAACATAACAATTCGTATTAAGAGAAAGAGGATGCTTTATTGATTTTCTTACCTGTCTGATAATGTATTGACGAGATGATGTTCTACAAGGCTCAGCAGCAGCCCTTCTCAACTTCTCAACAGAGCTATAGTTACCTTCCATACATTCCTCGTGCATAATCATCATTTTCTCTGCTACCTGTTTGATTTTCAGCAGAGCAGGAACTAATACTGAACATGAATGGGGTAGATCGGAACAGGTATAGAACAACTAGTAATGGAAAATAAACCCCTTTGCCTTTGGTTTCGAAGACATTCTTAAGAACAAAACAAAAAATTTGCAATCAACAATTGAATCAGTACCATAGAAATTGCCCCCTCAATTTCAAATTAGAAAGTGTTACCTTCTCAATTTCAACGCCATCATCATTCATGTCGATGTTGAGATGATCAGACATGGTTTCGTCGAGAATGTTCTCCAGGTCATCGATATAAAGCGGCTCATTGGCTGGATTGTTGCAAAAGAGTCAAAAAATTAAGAGAAAGGAGTGAGGAATTGCAATGGCAGAATAGCATATTCAACGATAATCCAGGCGAAGTATAAAAAAATTTACAGCAGAATAGGAAGTCCCATCATAATTAGGGTTTGAAGTTTTTTCTTTTTACCTTTGCGCTGTTTGGTGAACCAGGAGTAAACATCCGAAGCGAGTTGATCGGCTAACTGGCGGGAGCCGTGACCGCCGGACTCGTTATCGACGGCGAAAAGAAGAACTGCCCATCGGGAGAGGATCAAATATATTCCTTCCTTCAATACCATGAGATGATTTGCAGCTGCGCCATTGGCGTTTCGAGGGTCTCCTCCTTCGTCCATTCTTACTTGCTTCTCCAAAGCACAGAATCCCTAAAAGGTTCTAAGAGGTTGGGAACCCTAGCTGCAGGGAGCGGCCGAACTGAATCGGTGCTCGTATGGGCTGAACTTTGACCAAAATAAACATTCTGTCTGGCCTGAACTATACACCAAAATAAACAATTTGGCCAAACCCGATGTTTGACCGTTAACTAGGACGGTCAAACGCGTTGACCGTTAGTCAACGCGTCATGTCACTGCCAAATCAGCATAAAATATTTAAAATAATTCACAATTTCCACACATTCCCAAATTTTAAATTATTATAAATTAAAAAAAATCATCTAATACCTTAGTTAAACCAAAAATAAAAAACGAAAAAATTAAATATTTATCAGATCTTCTGAGTTGGCAGTGACGTGGCGCGTTGACCGTTACTCAACGTGTTTGAACGTCCAAGTTAACAGTCAAACATCGGGTTTGGCCAAATTGTTTATTTTTGTGTATAGTTCGGGCCAAGATGTTATAGATCGAAAAGATTGGCCAGGATGTTTATTTTGGTCAAAGTTCAGGCCATACGAAAATATTAACCCTATATATTATATACACATACTTAATACTTGGAATAACCACTCAAGAGCCAAAGATTCCTTCCTTTTAGGCTCATCAACAATAAAAACTCAATTTGAGCGTGTTTTTTTAGGGTAAGACAACGATGAAGGATGGCTTCATGAGACGGATCAACGAATGGCTCGTGATTATCAAAAGTGCTATGGAAAGGATCAGGCCCTGCATCACACACCCACGCCATCGCGACAGGTAGCTGAGATAGCATGGACCCCCTCCACAACACTGGATCGCTATCAAATGTGATGGGTCGGTTCTGCAAAATTCAGGTGGCGCTTCTGCAAGAGGATTACTGAGAGATCATGATGATCGCTGCCTGGGGACTTTTGCCTGCAATTTGGGAATCTGTTCTATTACAACTGCTGAGCTTCGTGGAGCTGTTCTGGGGTTACAAGCGGCTTGGAACGAGGGATACCGTAAAGTGCAGCTCCAACTAGACTCACAAGTTGCAGTCAAATTTTTATAGGAAAAGGACTACAGGGATCATGCGCCAAGCTGGGGTGCTGAGCAGAGCACAAGAGCTGCTCTTGAAGCAATGGGATGTCGAGATTCAACACATCTACAGGGAAGGAAACACATGTGCAGATTTTTTAGCCAATCTGGGGCATACCCTTGATATTGGTCTCCAGTCTCCACTGTATCCCGATCGATCATAGACGACTGAGCAATTTGATCTTGTATGACAGGCAGGGCCTTTCAGAGCCCAGGAATATTATAATAAACTGTTAGGGAGTGTGGTCTTCCTTTGATAAAAAAACAATAAAAACTCAATATTATACCTATAATGTATATTTGTATTAGTTGCATGTATTTATGTAAAGGTTAACTATAGCTATGTGTTCAATGTAATGTTTTACTCATCATACAAATTGTGAATTGATGCCTACTGATTAATCTAGTTAATCAATTAACCAAACCGATTAAATTTTAGTTCGGTTGTTGTATTAGTTTGGATGGTTTGGTTATGATTAAAAGAAATTTGACTTGTTTGGTTTGGTACAAATAGCAATTCCCATGGGGTCGGCTTCGCCAATCGCTAGTATCATGGGAAGAACCATCGCAAAATCTACAAATTGTGCAATGAAAGACTAGAATTTATTTTGGGTTACTACATAACATGGTGAAAATCTACAAATTGTGCAATGAAACGATGAAATGGCAAAGAAGAAGAAGAAACCAGCAGAAAGAAACTCAAACCCAATTCCAACTGCAAAGTTTCTCTTCCCCCAAACCAACACGCACCCATTTCAATCTCTTTAAGTCTTTTCATCAAATCCTCGATTATACATTCAACAACAAGCGGTAAGAAACCATGGCGACAACATCAAATCCCGCCTTTTCCTCAGTTAACAGTGACCTTGCCAACCATGCCGGCGCCCTGGTGAGGAGAGCAGTAGAAAGTGTACTCTCCTTTCTCAGTCAAAGCCACCTTGTAGGTCTCCCCAGGCGCATTCAGCAGATCCTCCTCCGACATCGAGATCTTGGACGCGTCCACGCCGCTGGGGATCTCGTCCTCGTCGAACACAATGTTGTGGGGGAACCCGGCGTTGTTCTTGAACGTGATGGTCTCACCGGCGGCGACGGTGAAGCTGTTGGGGACGAAGGCCAGGGAGCCGTCGTCGCTGCCGAGCAGGATGTCGATGGCCATGGCGTTGCCCGCCAGCATCGCGGAGGCGGCGGTGGCGGCCACCGCGATGCCCAGGTCCTTCATTGAGGCCCTGACGCCGGCGAATTTTGGGGCTGCAGCGACGGAGACCCTGGCGGTGGTGGCTGCGGCGGTGGACTTGGCCGACTTGAGGCCGGTGAATGATGGGATGGCGACGGCTGCTGAGGTGACGGTGGCCATGGCTGGAGCTAGAAAGGAGAAGGTTAATTGGGTTTCTGGTTTTTGTGTTCTGAAGTTTGGCCGCAGAAATTGAAGGGAATGGATGAGATGTGTGAGATATAAGAGATGGGGTGAGATATTTGTTTGAAGGTTTTTGGTGGTTTGTGTGGTGTAGATGTGGGATTGGGAATGAGAGGATGGAATGTGGAATGGGCAATGGAAAGATTTGAGGTTTTATCTTATCAGAGACGTTCTGATTGGCTGGTTGAGGATCCTGGTTTGTGACGTGGCAAGGTGATGTGGCAGGGGTGTGTAGTTCCGAGTTTGTGAGAGGATTAAAGGAGGAGATTTGACGATGGCTCCAGCATTCAGCAATGTAGTGCTTGGCATCAAAATGGGTCAAAAGTAATCTTATCCATCCCAGAGGCTGTAGCTAACAAGCAAAATCAGTGTACATAAGTTGTACAGGGTTACTCTGTCGACAACAAAACTAACCGATCCCTAAACGATTAGAAAACTCGAGGACCTAACGGTTTCATAAACGGTACCCTAGGCGCCAATTCGTGTCCTGGCGGCTTCTTCCAAGTCGCCATTGAAGTAGTGGGAAGAGCTCAATAGCTCTTCTCAGACCACAGATTATTCTGGGGGGGGGGGGGGGGGGGGGGGGGGGGGGGGGACTCGGATGAATCTGTATAGGAATAGATCGATCCATTTTGATTTATGTCGCAGAAGAAATCTTCAATGTTTATCGCCTTCGAGATGTGCCTTCCTCCTTGAGCTGTTAGAGAAAGGTTAGAGATTAGCCACTCACAGTCCTCTTGTCCGTCCAGAAACAATCAGCCTGTACTTTAGTCGTCTAAGGGGGAAGTCAATCTCGACCTTCAGCTACCTACTGAATAGGCATGAACTCAGCCAGGAATCGATCCATCGGTGTTCACCTGATGTGCAGCTATAAGCACATACCAAGCCATTCATCACATTCTATAGGTTTTTCAGCCATTGATCAAACGGCAAAGAGCAAGAGCATCCCTCTAACTGAACATAATCGCGTATCGACAAATAACAGCATCAAAAGTCTACCATCCATGCTGCAAGTGAAAATCCTATTCCCATATCTGAAAATTTTCTACCTTCCAAACAAGCAAGGATACAAGATAGCACAAGTCCATGCTCTCCAATGACTATTACCAGTATATTATCTTCTAGTTCATCGAACGAAACCGGGATTTGACACTAAACTTCACATATGAATGAACAACAAGACATTGGTCTGGCGTACTTAGCACCTGATAAACATGAACTAGCCTCTAATCCCAGCAGCACGTAATAGCATTATTCCCAAATGAACAGACAGAACCACCATGGATAACTTAAGGGAGAGAGGGTTTCATTTCATATATACAAACACCGGGTAGTACTAGTATCAGAATGTACACAGTATATAACTCGCTCACCGGTTTCTCCAGCCTTCTTTCAGATCGGAAACGAAACATTGCCATCATCATCATCATGATCATCCTCATCGTCATCCACATCGAAGAATCTAAACACACCGCCGTCCCATTTCGAGTCCTTGTACTTGAAACTCGGGTTCACATAACACTTCATCTCATGAAACAAGTTCAGATTATCCACCAGCTTATGAAACACATTGCATCCACAGCACTGCCAAATCAACAAATATACCAATTAACAAGAGCTTCTCATGATGAATTCTCTCTATACTAAGAAATCGGCATCACAGGCGACAACCGAATTCTCATTCGTACCTGAACGAAGACGGTGCCATCGGTGTAGGCGTGAGGGTTGATCGCCCTAGTTGTGCGTTGACCGCAGACGTTGCAAGTGAAAGCCACCCGCATCCTCCGGCGAGGAGACTTGGTGAAGAGCGACCACGGTAAGGTGGAAACCTTCTCCGTATTGGATCCGTCCTCCGCTCCAGCGGGTGCCGGCGGCCCTTCCATCCCCGAGCCGGTCGTCCATCCCCTCAGCGACGCCGCGCTGAGAACCAATCCCATGGCGTCATCCTGATTGAAATTGGACTATAATTTTCCAAACGATCAGCTCAGAAATTACGGAATCAGCATCCGAATACAAGGAAATGAAAAGAACAGAACGAAATAGAGATTTGAAACCTTGGAGAGGGCGTTGCGATTGAAGAACGGGACGATGCTGCTTGAGTCTTTCGAGTCGGAGCTCGAGCGCAGATCTGAGTTGTCTCCGTCGTCTGGATCAATGGATGACGGGATTCGAATCAAATGGAAACTTGCAGACTAGGAAACGATTTTTTGGAGAGAAGGGAAGAGAGCTTACTTTTGGGGGAAGAATTGTGGCATCGGAGGAATCTGCAGGTAGAATCCTTAGTTCGCTTCTGGGAGAAGAAAGAGAGGGAAGACGATGAAGAAGAGGAGACGATGGTGGCGGCAGAGGAGCTCAGAGCTTCCATGGCGGGTCTCGCAGCGATGGACACAGAAGAACGGTGACGTGACTGGTTTTTTTGGCTTTTTGGATGGGAGACGCAACTGAATCATTTTGTATTTGTCTGACGTTTGTTCATATATCGCACGAATTTGGGCTCAACCGCTCAAGTATGATTAATGGGCTAATGGAGAATAGCCCACTATATCTATGTGGCCCGCTCAAATAGCTAATACCCAGACCAATCTGCTACGGATAATGCTGCTGCAGGTTGGGGAAATTCATGTCATCAGATCCTTGGTGAAAATCAGTCATATTCAATTCGTTTTGTTGGTTGGAACAATAATATGACGGTCCATTTGGTGGCTCGTCTTGTCCTGTTTATGTTTTGGCGTATGTTAAATGAGTTTTACTTTGTTTTTGGATTGTGCTCTCAATAAGCATTGTTTACGTTTCATTTCATTATATATTTTTTACTTCATCGTCAGTTTGAATGATCTAATAAAAAGAAACCATGTAATAACATTTGGTTGGTATGTGGTAGGTTTTGTTGCGGAATAACTCTTTGAAAAATTTAGAGATAATGAAAAGTTCGAGTCAAAGTAATTGTTAGGACAAAGCTTATAGCAAACTTGGGTAAACCTTTAAATTTGAATGTGGTAATTTATAGTAAAAAAAAAATAGTTTGGATGAAGATTTATTAGGATGTGGTATTCTAAAATAAATAAATAAAAGATAAAAATATCAATATGCTCTCAATTACTTACCAGTTACCACCACTCTCTTCATCCTTTTCTCTCTAGAAAAAAAAGCAAAAACAAAGTCAATCTTCGGGTTGACAATCAAATAGCACGGTCATCATTTTGAAGGAAAAGTCCCCCCAATGAATCCTTCTGAAATAACCACCCTCGTGTTATTTCAATTCACCAATAGGGGTCGTTTGGATGCACAATTGTAGTGAGTGAATTGTGAGGGATTTTAAAACAATCCCTCATTATGCAGGATTTTAATACAATTCTGCGTTTGGGAACATGAGAGATTGTAGGTGTTGGGTCTAGTATTAACCCGCCTAATACGGGCCCAAGCCCATCACAAAGCGTCTCACCTTGGGCCCAAGCCCATTCTAGGGTCCAGTCCACCGGGAGGCGTCTAGTCCATCCGGGGGGCGTCCATCACCGGGAGGCGTCCATTCACCCGAAGGCGTCCATCGACGGGAGGCGACCAGTCTACCGGGGGCGTCCATGACAACGGGAGGCGTCCACAGGATGCCTCCGACTCCTATATAAGGAGGCCAGACCCTCCAAACAAAGGGACTTCTCTCTCTTCCCTCACTTTACCACTTATGGTTCTCTCTCTAAACCCTATATCTCTCTACATTTCTCTCTACACTCTATCATCTATCCTTACTGACTTGAGCGTCGGAGTGTAGATCCCGGGGGCCGCCCCCGACTCTCCACAGGATTCTTCCACTCCCGAGGAGATCAGACGAGGGAGTCCGGATCAAGGTTCCACACTAATCGCCCGGCACTAATCGGGTCAAACAGTAGGTATTAGGGATTTCCAAAACCCACAAGTGTAGGATTTCTAAATAGCTGATGGGGGTCAGCTATTTCGAAATATCTCATTCTTATATTTTTTCTTCCATTTCTAACCCTTTTAATTAAATTAAATCCCCTCTTTACCCTCATCATCTTCCAATCTCTCCGGTCGTCTTTCTCATCCCTCCGTGCCGATGTTCTTCATCTGGCCTCCCAACTTCCACTTCCCGCCGCTCTCTTCCCTCCTACGACTGATGATCTAGAGCCCCTTCCTGATTCCTCAAATTCAAATAACCTTCCTCGACCGAACCATCCTCAACACTGACTACTTCTCGGATGTTCTCGTCCTTATCAATCCTCTCGACAACCAATGGCTTCGCGGCAACAGCGACAATTCCATTCTGGGCATAAATCCTCTGGAAATTGCTCTCGTTCACCCGCGTCTCCACCAAAGTTGAATCTTGCAGCCGCACCACCGCACTCGACGCGACGCCGATGGAAACCCTGTTCGCTAACACCATCGACGGTGGCGCGGACCCGGGGTGGAATACGATGGACTGAGCGCCTGTAGGGGTTGAAACGAGTCGCCGACGGCGGAGAAGGAGTGATTATTGTGGCGGGGCAGGGTGGCAAGCTTTGGCGAGATAGTTGTAGAAGAAGAAGCAAATGAATCCTTCATGGAGCCTTCTGATTGCTAATAGAAGAAGAAAGCAAATTGGATCCATGGACATCACCTAAACGATGAATAGGTGTAGAAGAAGGGCAATTATGAACTTTGGCTTAAGTGTGGGTTTTTAATTAAAATCCTTCATCCACAAACAAACGAGTAATTTAACATAAATCCTGCAAATTAAAAACCTGACTTTTTGAACTAGAGATTTGAGCTTAAAAACTCTCATATTAAAATCCCTCATCCAAACGACCCCATAATGAGTTTCAAAATAACTTAGCTCCAAATAAGTCATCTAAAGCCTATGCACCCTTGGACTCAATTAATTCATTTTGAGTAACTAGATTGAATTAACTCATTATGTATCCAACAACTATTACATAACACTTACACTCTTACATTAATGGAGATGTGAACAATTTGATGATAATCTTGTAAGGTTTTACGCTAAATGTCGGGGAGGTGGGATGAATCATGAGATATGAACCATCCAAAAAAATGTCATCATCCTATTGCTAGTATAGATTAATGGATCGTCGGTGGCTGGTAGGTATCAATGTCACTCTTATGAACATTAGAAGTGATTCTTCTTATTAAATTATACCAAGTCTGGGTTGTTCTAACAACAACATTATACTAAACAAGGGTATTGTTTTTATAATTTTGAACGAATTACACAACATAAAATGAGAAAGATAATTAAGATTCTAAAAAAAAGAAATATACATAGGAGCATAATTAAGATTCTATCAAACTAAACTATTACATTAACTAATGAGAATCACAAGATGGTATTCTCCTCTGCCTAACCACTTTATTTCATTCCCAAGTACACAACAACAACAACTCAATTAGTCGACATTATATTCCCTAAACCACATACTCCGCATACCCACGAACATCTAACGACTCGCCTTAGCTCTTTCAACTTTGATCAACGGTATAGGCGAGGTGGGTCAAGATCCGACCCGTATCAAACCCATTGAAATTCGACCCGGCAGCCGCAGTATAAGCTCCCATGTCCGGAAACACCAGCCAGTCGTTCACCCCAAGCTCCGGCAGCTGCCGGCCTGTGAACACAGTGTCCAGCCCATCACAAGTCGGCCCAAACACCGTCGAGCTGAACGTGGGCTTTCCTTCACACTTTGGGTCCAGCCCATTCGAAGCCACCGCCAAGGGCACGCACTTAACCGTCGCGTGGTCGTACAGAATGCAATTCATCGAGCCGTAGAGCCCGTCGTTAATCCAGTACTCCCTCCGCTCGCCCCTCACGCGCCTCCCGATCACCGCCGCGGCCAGCGTGAACGCCGACTCGGCGAAGAACCGGCCCGGTTCGCTGACCACGTTCAGACCCGGCTCGCCCGAGAAGTAATCGTCCAACGCGGCACGGATCTCGGAAGCCGCGGCTTCAAATTGGGGGCCCGATGTGAAGCCTCCCCCGATGTCCAGCGTGTGCATCCGCGGCAGGCCGAGCCGGCTCGCCGAGTCGAAGACGGCTCGGGCCGCCTCAATAGCCCCGCGGTAGGTTCCGGATCCGGTCTCGCCTCCGCTGCCGATGTGGAACGATACGCCGACGACGGAGAGGCGGAGGGATTGCGCTTTGGCGAGGAGGGGGTCGATCTCGTCGGGGAGCGCGCCGTATTTGTCGCCCAGCTGGCACCGCGCGCCGCCGTCCTCCGGCGGCTTGATACGGATGAGCAATTCGCAATTCGGGTGGAGCCGGCTCATCTTCTCGAGCTCGTCGGCGGAATCGAAGGTCGTGAGGTTGACTCCCTTTGCGGCGGCGTAGGCGATGTGCGATTCGGGCTTGCAAGGGTTGGCGAAGAGGATGCGGGCCGGGGAGACGCCGAGGGAGAGGACGGATTCGATCTCGGCACGGCTGGCGCAGTCGAAGCTCGCGCCGAGGTGGGCGAGGGAGCCAAGGAGGGCAGATTCGGGATTGCACTTGACGGCGTAAAATGGGTGGACCGTGGGGAGGGATTTTGACCACGTTTCCATTAGGGAAACGACGGTTCCCAAATCCAGGACGTAGAAGGGCTCACCTCCGTCGCTCGATTCCTTGTCGGTGGAGATGATTGAGCGGAGGAAATCGGTCAGGCCGCCGTCCTTGGGTATTGTGGTGACGGTTCTGCCCTTGATTCCCGATGCGGCAATTATGCCGGCGGCGGCGGCTGACGACCGCCAGATTGCTACCATATTGGCGCGAAAGGTAGGGGAGAAGGGTTTTTTTGGGCGGAGATTTCGGGGGAGCGAAACGGTGCGTATTTATAAGGGGGTTTTCCTGGAGGCAGCAAGGAGGGGATGGAAGGGAATCGCCGCCGCTTAATGTTGGTTGGTGAAAAGAGCGTGAGGAGATTTTATGCTAAATACTGTAGCGGCGTTTCGGCAAATTAGGGTTTTGTGGGATGGGGATTAATTAAGAGATTAATGGGGGATCTGTTTTAATTATTTGTGAGATATGGGGGATGAATCCATGGAGATGTTGTTGGCGAGAATGAAAGCACTAATGGAGATATTGGTTTTGGCCATGTTAACCATAGAACGGTGATTTTGAGGTAGTCAGTTTTGAATTTGTGGGTTTCGTTTATATTTTCTCCCCTTATGATTTGAATAAAGTACTGAATTGTTTTGGGTTTCAATTTCAATCCATAAAGAAGTACTTTATTTACTTTTCTTTCTAAGTTTGTTCAAGCTTCCTTTTTCTTTTGCTAATACATTGTATCGTATATGTCTTTATTTACTTCATATACGAAAGTCTTATCATAAAAAAGTTAGATAAATACTTCAATTATAAAACAAAAATCATTATTATGAGGACTATAGAACATTTAGTCCATGAGTTTTCTAGTTTTCACAATAGAGAAGAATTATGATGGACACATACATTCATATGAAGTCTTTTTATATCGATATGTATTGAGTCAATCTTTTTATATCGATATGTATTTTAAATTGAAATAAACACTCCTTAATTTCTGTAAGCAATCACAAAACACACATGTTTTTTAAAAAAAAATTCCCAAAATACACTTGTTTTATGAAAAGTCTTAAAATACACATTTTTGTGCATCACTGCGTTCGTCGACCGCAGTGAATGCATTCATCACGGTAGACGAAAGCGGTGAATGTCTGACCCAACACTGAAACTTAAAACGTACGTAACTTTGTGCTCGATTATCCGATTGTAACGAATTTTTTATTTATTTCACATAACTTTTCAAGATCTTTCAATCTGCAACAAGAATTCATTAAAAAAAATTTGTTTGCTACCCGAACGAGCATATTTTTTATTTTGAAAAACTTTGGAAGACCATAACTTTGTACTCCGCAATCCGAATGTCATGAATTTTTTTTCCCGCATAGCTTTTGAAGGACTACAACCTTTATCACAACCATATTTTTGTAATGTATGTGGATTTGTGAAACGTAAAGGCAAAGTTATTCCCAAAATCCCTTATACCCAAAAATATTTATTTTTTAAAAAATTCTTTCCTAGTAAAAGTTGTAGTTAAAAAAGTTATGTGCAATCAAAAAAAACTTTATGACGTTCGGATTGATGAGCAAAAAGTTATGTCATTCCGAAGTTTGGAAAAATGAAAAAATTGCTCATTCGGAGTAGTACATGTTTTTTTTTTCTTGGGATGAAGGTTTGTTGTAGATTGTAGTATATTTACATATGGTTATGAGGGTGATCCCATGGCATGACCTATTGCGTCTCTGCGTCCCTTACGACCACATGGTGGCCACTTCGCGGCCTCATGGTTGTCTCATTGCGACAACGTGGTAGTCTCATCGCAATGGCGTGGTCGTCTCAACATGATCACATAGTCACCTCGTTGCGTCCGTGTGGTTGTCTCCTGATGACCACAAGGTCCTCTCAAGGACTTAGTATACAATTGATTCTTTGATATGCAACTTGAGGACCATGACTTATTATTCTCGTGTCATGACATGACCTCTTACGAGAGAGTCTTACCCGTTTTGACTTTATGCCCACACTCGCGAAAGACTTAACAGGTTGAACTTAATAGTCAAGATTCATGAGACCTAGTTTCAATAACATTAATTGATATTGCCTTCCCTACGGTACGCATGAACTTGAGGAACCGTCGGTCGGTCTAGTGTCTATCTTACGAGATGATTTGATGGGTACCACCCTGGAGAGACGCATTGTCGTTCCTTCTTCCGTCTCTCTGTAACCCCTGCTGTAATTTCTGCTTTCTTGGCCTCGGCCTCCTTTCAATGCAAAAAAAAAAATTAATTGATATTGCCTTATAAATACATTAATTATCTTATAAATCATCAATACGATACAAAATGGTTTTTTAATGATTTTTTTTAAACTATGGCCGATCTCTCCCATAAAATTAAGAGAATGACAAATGCTACTATGGAACTCCCAATCCAACTTTCTTGCATACCAACGTGGTTTCGTGAGTAATCGTAATCAAGCAACACTAATCATGATTAGGATTCTATTATCATACATACGTAAGCACATGCGTTCTTGGGTGGACAATTGCAATGTAACAGCTTTTCAATTGGGCGTTTAATGGGCAAATTCGAACGGCCTGAGTTGGTGGGAGTAAGTGGGCATGTGAGGGAATAGGTATAGTTTTTGTGGTTGAAAATTCTTCTTATTCGTTTTACATGATTTTCAATGGGAAAGCTCTTCGTGTTTGATCATCCAACTAGAAGAATTGGTGCCGTGGGGGAAGCAAAATAACATATTACTATCATATTGAGTCTCTGTTTTTGTACGCAGTACCTTGGAACCTTCATAGCTAACCTTTAATTAACTAGTGTCGGCTATTGGCATGGACTAGGTAATAGGGTGAGTAACCGTGTGGTATTTTCTCAGATTTTGCACTTAAGGTGAGTAACAATGAGTAACCAAATATGGACCATTCTTTTAAGTGGCTGCAGATCTGAGGGTGGAGAATTAAATGAATTTATTTTCCCTAGTTTTCTTAATTGGATCATATCTTCTTCATTCTAACTCGGATTTCAATTTTTTTTGCACAGATGGAACGAGTTCGTTGTGCTCTACAAAATGATATCCATTTTTCAATATTTTTTTAGAAAAAAAAATTCTCATCCCTCTCTTAACCAACTTCATACCATATTGTATCTCCTTCGTTGTTTAGTCATTTTTTGAAATTTTTGCACAAAAGGAACGATTTAATCATGATCTATTGGATTTCAAAATTTTCTGGGGGGAAAAATTCCATACCTCTCGTTACCAACTTCATACCATACTATACCACCCTGGTATGAGGTGATATTTTTCATACCATATGGTATGCTGTTATTTAATACCAGTCAATACCATATGGTATTGACTAGTAATAACTGGCAAATTTTTTTTGTTCCAAAAAATATCAAAGTGGATATCATTTTGAATCGTTACCAACTCCATACCATACTATACCACCCTAGTAGGAGGTAGTATTTTCATACCATATGGTATGCTGTTATTTAATACCAGTCAATATCATATGGTATAATACCACATGGTATTAACTGATAATAAGTGGCAAATTTTTTTGTTCCAAAAAATATCAAAGTGGATATCATTTTGAAGAGCACAATTAATCTGATATAACTGTGCAAAAAAAATTAAATTTCGAGTTAAAACGAGTGAGAAATCGTCCGTTAAAAATTAAGGAAAAGAAAATTAATGATTTTTCCAGGAGAGAGGAGACGCTGATGTGCAGATTTTTATTGGGTTATGCATGGGGTTACTCACCAGATCTGCTCTCCTAGGTATGCCGGTCTAGTTAGAGTTAGGATCAGCTGTCAAACGGAGGTAAGTTTTGGTTGCTCTCAATATTATAGTAACAAGAGGTGACATTGACAATTTTGTATTGAATTTGTAAGAAATTCGCTTATTTGAGTTTTTTAGGACTGACGTAATCGGCTAGAAAGAAAGGGATTCAGGGATTGCGAAATAGAATTAGGGATTTGAGAAGAGCTGGGGATGAGTGATTGAAGACAAAATTGGGGAAGAATGGGTTGTGGCCTTTTGAGAGAGAGATGAACGAGATCGAGAATAATATATTAGGGCTTGAGGATACATTTTGTAATATTGTTCTTGATTGATTATGAGTAAACCAAAAGTGCATATATATTGGGAAAGACTAGAATAAACCTGATAAATGACCTAATGCTATCAAAATACTGCTAACCCTAACAATAACTATCATACTAATGTTAATGAGGAAAACCCCAAGAGGGCGGGCTTCTAACAATCCTCCCCCCCCCCCCCCCCCCCCCCCCCCCCCCCCCCCCCGGGAAAGCAACCTTGTCCAAAAGGCTGCAGTCAACTTTCGTTTTCTTGACCCTTCGTTTTCAATTGCGCTTTAGCTCACGATTGTACGGTTCTCCAGCAATTTCGATGTCCCTCGACTCTTCTCCTGCCACGTGACAGTCACCTTGTTCATAGCCACACAATTTCTACCTCCTCCCTTTCGAACTCCACAAAATAAGAGTTTGGGATGTCAAATTTTTTTTGTTATTCTTGTTCTTCATTGATTTTGCAAATTCCAAAGTATCATGGCGAAAAGATTTGCGATGATGAAGTCTTATACTAGCAATTTTTGTGTTGATTGAGTCCTTTATCAAGATACTTTCCATGATTCCATGGTATCATGGCAAAAAAAATTGCGATAACGAAGTCTTATACTAGCAATTTTTTTATAGAAAGTGAGACGCTAAAAGGGCACTCTTGCTTGATACTTAAATTAAGCGATTTTGAAATGTACTCATAGTATCATACATTATCCAAAAATTTAGACGCAAATTCAAAATCTTAAAGGTATCAATGCAGTCAAAATCTAGATTTTAAGTAAAATCGAAAACTGAGGTAGAATCGAAATCGTAGATTAAAATCGTAAAATCGTAAGATTTTAAGGTTCATATTAAAATAAATACTTAAAACACTAGATAGTAATAAAAATGCATACCACATAAAACATAATTACTTCCCAAGATAAGTTTGTTTGCTAAACAAACACAACTAATCCATATATTTTTCTTGTACATAATAGAAACACACAAATAAGAAACCTGAAACATTATAGATATCACTGTTAGTTAATTGTTAAGAGTAGAAGATCACATAAGATCGTTAGGATCAACATTAACATCACTTACACATCATCGTCATCATCCTCAACCTCACCCTCACTCTCATCGTTTTTATTTGTTTAAGGACTAATATCATTACTCTTATGATCACTTGAAGTACTTTCACCATTAACCATATTTCCTTGATTACCATCATCTGGAAAAGATAACTCATTGATTGATGCATTCCCTTCTTAATTGATAAAAGGTCGGGTTAGTGGTGCTGAAGGATTGGGAGATGAACAAAAGCTTGCAATGTAATGGAGATTTGGATTATTGTGAGGGTGGTGGGAACAAACTACAAGCTAATTGGGAGGGTGAAAGATATCGTTGATGGAAGGAGTTGGGCGCTGACGTGCGAAAGAGGACGATACGAGGAAGAGAATGAAAATAAATTGAGGGTTAACTATCAGGTTGGGGTTGTGTTGTTCATTATGTTGGGTTGGGGAAAGTAAATTTGACTCGGTTCATGGGCATAACCCAACTTGACCGGCCTAATTTTGATCCAATTGATTTGAACCTTGAAATCGTACAAAATCGTAGAAATCGTAGATTTTATGGATTTTAGAATTTTAAATCTGAATTTTATGGGATTTTAAGGTTCAAAGATTTTACGGTAAAATCAGGATCGGAACCCATAGGTAAGATCATAAAATCGTAAGATTTTAAGATTAAAATCGAGATTTTGACTACATTGTAAACACCTAAACTAAAGGAATGAGCCTAGTTCGCAAGATAATCCACTTCTGGTGGTGGAAAGAAGATAAATATTAGTGATGGTGATTTTTGAAATATGTACGAGGCGTAGTTTAGATCAGGTGAAGAAGGATTGTGCGTTTGTTTTTATTTTTATTTTTATGTTAGGTCGTTATGGGTGTTCTTGTGCATAACATTTTGGTATTAATAATATTCCCCAATATTTCAGGAAATTGTTGATTACCAATTTTTATCGAAATTAACTTCGATGGAATCTCTAGATGATGGATGTTTCATTCAACTGACAGAAGATGATTGCAACGTGTTTATAGGCAGGAGCGGAGCCAGGATTTTAAGTTCGGGGGGCCGAAAAATTTATTATCGTAAGAAAATATATATAGATGTCACTCCACAAAATTTTATTTAAGATAATTATAATCACTAAAAATATGATTTAAATTAAAAAATTTATCAGTGACATGTTCAAAATTATTAAATAAATTTCAACAAAAAATAATGCACCATGTTCTTCAATTTATGATAAGTAACAAATGAATGTCTATAAAAAATGGGAAAATGATTGAATTATTTGCTATATATTTAAAATTATCTTCGAAGATATAAATGTATAAGTTCAATTAAATTTACCTAGTTTGAAGTTAAATTACGTATGAAATCAAAGTATGAAAAATCAGTAAAAAAAATAGTGTTGTTGGATATTGAACCCACAACCTCCCATGTAACAAAAGACCATTTATCTGCTGGACTAAAGTAACCAATTAAACAATCAAATTACACAATACAAGTATATATAAATGTATCTGAATTAATACGTAACATCAAATTCTCGTCGTATTTTAACACTAAACGTAGCTCCGCCCCTGTTTATGGGTTCCCTCGTGGCCCGAAAGTGGTAGATTTGAATGCCAAGGTTGCAGAAAAGAGAATAAGAGAGTTGATTAACAAGGTAAAATATTAGAATTTTATATAGGGATGATATCGTTAAACTCTGTGTGCTCAAGTCATTTTGATCTACTGTTTGCAAAAAATGAGCTGAAGTGGTCTTGATTTTTTATTGTGTACAACTTTTCTATACAACAACTTTTACTGCGGATTTGAGATATCTAGAATATGTTGACCATGATAATGAGAAGGAGATGATGTCTTCATTAAACTTTTTTTTTTTTTAGGGGAAGAGAAGAGAGAAGCTAAATAGAACCTTCATTAATGGAGGGAACAAGGAGCAGTAAAAAAGAGAGGAGTAAATTTTAGCCAGAGAAGAGGGGAGACAGGAGAGAAATGAATGAGGGGAGATAGGAATCTTTGTCTGACTGCCAAAGTGATAGCAGCAGCAGCATTGCCAAAGGCAACAAAAAAAAAATTGTGCAGAGAGAGAGAGGCATCGATTGGTTTGATTTTCCTAGCACAAATAAATGTGTTCACGAGGAAAGGAAGCAACTCTTTGTTACCCACCTAATCTCTCCCCTTTTCATTTTTTTTTTTTTTTATTCAGTGGAGACTTAAGGCCAAGTAGAGTTTACAGGTGGGAAAGAGAGGTGGAGGTACCAGCACTAGAGACATGGTTTACAATGTTCCTAGCAAGACACGCTCCTTTAAAGTCTTCGAAAATAATTTGTTGGAGTTCAGGTGGAGGGTTTATAACTTCATACAACCCAAAAGGATAGACGAGACTGTGCTTTGAGAGCCAGTCTGCGACTCTATTTCCTTCGCGGTACGTATGAACAATACGAACCAACCATCCTTGAGCCAACTTTCGCCTGGTAGAATCCAAAATGGTAGCATGGGGGAGGATCAGATCTATACGATGGGATATCAACTCAATAGCTATCTGAGAGTCAATTTCAAGAATGATACATCTTTGTCCACTTTTCCAAGCAAGATTTAGACCTTCATGAATTGCCCAGAGTTCTGCCACAATTGTCACGCTACTGCCTATCCTGTAGATAAATCCTTTAACCCATTTGCCATATGAGTCTCGTTGTAAATCTCCTGCCCCTGATGCCCTTGTGTTGCCTTGTGATGCCCCATCGATGTTGAGTTTGGTTCATCCTATAGGTGGAGGGGTCCATCCTATAGGTGGAGGAGTCCATCCGATTTGAGCTTGTATTCTATCCGGTGGGACTTGTGAGCGGTTTAGTTGGATCGTTGGTGAGTTCCAAGATGCTATCCAATACATCTCGTCCCTTTTTCATTTGATGAAGGCTTTTGGCCCCCTCACAGACTTTCATTTACTAGCTCATCCCCAAATCCATAACCGAACCGATTGATAATACATGTCGTCGAATATGCATAATCTGTGAGATGTTGTCGATACATTTAATATACATGAATAACACCATTAGCAATGCATTTGGACGAAAATTTACTTGACAATATTGACATAGGCAAATGACATAGTGTGTAGATGTATTTGAACGAAAGATACCAAAGTATTGTTTATTAAAAGTAAAACAATATATAGTAGTACAAAGGAGTACAAATGTGATCAGCCCAATTTAGAATAATGTGTACGTGAAAATCAGACTTAGCTTATACCCTAAATGGTGAGTTTTTGTCACGTATTGATAGGGAACACTATTAGGTATGAAAGATCTTTTGTTGCCAACTTTATCTTAAACCCACCAACTAATGACAATTAATTATGGCATTAGTCTGTTTGTTGGTTTGGTTGGTCCTATTTACTAGCAAAAACGTCTTTCAAGACCGGCGAGGGTAATAAATTACCACGTGGGGGGCTGTAAATGGAATCGGTTCTATAATTTGATACCAAAACGTGTTATTTTAATGGTGGGGTTTGGTCACAAAAGAATAATATGCGTTGTGCCTACTTAATTAAGCAAAAAAAACTTTCTGTATTGTCCCTTCTCCTTGTATTTATTGCGAATGTCTGTATGGGACCTTTTTCCTTCTGTTTTACTATTTACCTTTTCACCACTGAATATTTATGGAGTTGTAACAATTCCCACGCTATGCAAGTATATTTTTAAAATGTCAACAATCCTCGGATTGAGTGTTGAATGTTTGGGCGATCGTTTGATGAACATGTAATGTTTTATTTTACAAAAAGTCATAGTGTCAATAAAATATTGTGCAATGGCAAAGGCCCGATCGAACAGATGTTGGCAATGTAAAAAAGCTCTTATAAATGGTGTTATATGCTCACCGTAACCGAATTACCAAAAAAAAATGTGTTACGTTTTGGTTAGGTTCAAAATCGAATTCGGAATAATGTAGGATACTTAATCAGATATGACTAAAACGAAGAAATTGAATCATGTACCGATTCAACCAAAATAAACCTAGCTATAATTCAAAAAGTAATTAGTGGAGTTTTGTAAATGTACAATAAATCATAATTAATTAGATTCATGTACAATAATACTACTCCATTAGACTAGTACATACCTTTTTCAAACTATTATAAGTAATAATAATAAAAAAAAACGCCCATGAAGACCTAAATTCCTTTGCTCTTCCTTGATAGAATACCTAAATTCCCCTCCGGATTACATGGATAAGTAGCTACTCGCCCCGTACGACGTCGCTTCTTTGCGATTCCCTCAAAGCTCTTTTGAAGAGTCCTGAAATGCGAGCGGGAAACCTGATGAACGCACCAAAGGAAATCAAATCAGGAAAGCAGAAAAACAGAGGAAGCCATAAAAACAGAGCACGATTTCTTCGAGATTAGTCGTCGTCAAACAGGGACGGCGAGAAAGGGCAACGATGAAAGTAGCATTGAGATATTGGCACGGCTCAATCAAAACGGGGGGAAATCACCAATTTTTGTGGTTCTTTCCGTCTGAGTGAACCGGGCCAATACCACACTGAACCACTTTCACATCAACAAACGAAACAGCTTCAAACCCAGAAACAGAGGAAAGAAAGGGGGCAACAGAGGACGGAAAAAAAATTGCCAATGGAACTCTGGAGAGAGGGACTCGGTGAGAAGGGTCATTTTAAACAGTTTGGGGGAAGGAGAGGAGCATTTAAAACAAATCTCGACTACCCAAAAACGAAAGCATCAAATAGAGGGGAAGAAGGACGAGAGAGAGAGAGAGAAACAGAGATAGAGAGCATTGAATAGGGGGGCGACCCACGAGACCACCCCACAACCTCCTCCATAAATTCTCCCTATGCCTTAAATTTTCTCTGTCAATTTTTTTTTTGTTGTTGTTGTTGTTCAATTTGAAGGAAGAAGAAAAACTTGCCAGACGGGGGAATTAATGGCAAAGGGAAGGGAATCGCTACATGATGATTCTGAAACATGTGGGTTTCTGGCGCTGCTTTGCTTGCCTTTTCTACTCTCTCTCTCTGGTGATAAAAGAGAGAGAGGGGATTAGCTTAGCTGCCGCTTGCTTGCTGCGCGTTGCTTTGGAGCCAACAAACCAGAGGAAGAGAGAGAGAGAGGGGGGAAATGAAAACAGAGTGTGGTGTACTGCTAGCAGCTGTCGAAAACCGCAGGGACCAGGGATTTTAATGAAGGGGGCCGGGCCGTTGAGGTCCTTTTTATTTCAGAAAAAGAAGGAAAAAACCGTTCGCGCCACTCTGCAGCCATTAAAACTTCCTCCAAAAAAGCATAAACGGGTCGTATCCCAAACCCGCCGACGGGTTATGTCTTGGAGTTGGGTCGTGAAAGATGGTGTTTGGATTATGGAGTTAGAATTTGTAATTCTTTCAACTAGTTATGCCTTTATGGTATGATGTATTGGTTTTCAGTCGTTATTATTAATGGCTAAAGAATAATAAGTATTCCAACTTTAATTAGAGTTTGAACAGTCAAATAACTGATTGATTTCAATAATTCGAGTTTTTTTAGAGAGATTTGATAGTGGATGGATGTTATACTACATACTACCATGCCCCTCAAATGAAAAGACCTTCATATTTGTTTGAAATTTGTACATGCATCAGACACCATGTGTTTATCAAAGGGGTCACCAGAATTCAAACAAAAAACCTCAAGTTGTCGTGAGAGCTTCAAGACTTCACACACCTCACTACAATGAAGCCCCCATACAAAACGAAAGAAGCTAGTCTAAAGGGGACATCAACACGGCTATATGTGCTACTCTATGGGCGGCTCAATTTGGCAGTCCATTCCTCAAAACTACCCTATGAACCTAAACACTATACAAAGAGGATAATACTAGACTAACTTACGGCACTCCCGGAACAGGGGCCCACCAGAAGGTTACGACACCACATCTTGGCCTTGCTGTCGAATGACTACTTCCGCATCTCCTTCCACGATGATACGAGGCAAGCTTTTTGATATCACAACCGAAATGGCATCTCTTGCAGCAAACAATTCTGCAAGGTAAGGATCCAACACACCAAAGTTTATCTTCCCTAGGTCTTCAGGGGAGCACTCGTAGAAAGTTAGGAGCCAAAGTAGAGGGACGGAAGAGAGCATACAGGGTGAGTTGGGCGGGAGAGGACATTCAAGGATTTTGAAAGAAAATAGACGAGCATGTACGTTGTTGAGTATTTTCGAAAACCACTTCATTGCGAGATCCAGGTGCTCCACAACTGATATATTGGAGGTTAGAGAATAAGGTTTGGATTAGGGATGACAATTGGTCAGGTTGGGTCGAATTTTGCCAAACCCAAATCCATGGGTTTATCCGTGAAAAAAATCCGGGGTAAAATCCATTGGTTTTGGAAAACTCAAATCCAACCTAACCTGCTGGGTATTCGCGGGTTTATGGGTACCCATGGGTTTATTCGTAAAAAATTTACAATAACAAGTTCCTATCAAAATAAAAGTCAAATATCAATCTTTCAATACAAGTTATCCATATACAAAATACCATTCTTAAAAATTCAAGCAAATCACAAATTAACTATACAAATTGTTCAACACCAATCTAGAAAACTAAAAAAAAAGTGAAGCAAATCACAAATTATCGATAAAAAAAATGATTAATTGAAAGCTTCTTCCTCCTTGTCAATTAAGCTTCTTCACTCTCCACTCTATAATATCAACTTCATTTTACACAATTAGAAAGAAAAAATTAGACATGTCTCCACAAACATAAAGAAGATTAGTTGTTTAGAATATTTTTTTTATGGTTAGTTGTTTAGAATATTAAATATACCGGTAAAATTAATTATATGGGTGTGGGCGGGTACCCATGGGGCGGGTTTACCTAAACCCAAACCCAACCCGATGAATAGTGAACGGGTTTAAACCCAAACCCGGCCCAAAACCCGTCAACACGGGTTTTACTCACGTTGACCGGATTGGATCGGGACCATCGGGTAGGATACCCGTGGGTTCGGGTTTTGTTGCCATCCCTATTTGGGATTGCACATTTAGCATAACATGAAGTCACCATAAACAAAAATTAACAGTCAAGACCGAGGAAATCACGCCGCTCTCACAAAGGCCCATAACTAGATGGCCAGGGAAAAACGAAAAACAAATGTTCAATACTCTCTCGTTGTCTCCCGCAAACCGAACATCATATAAGACAATTTACTCCTCTCGACAGGAGAGCAACTGTTGTAGGCACCAATAATTAGGTTATGTTTTATCTCAACTAAAAAATGGAGAACGAATTATTCCGGATCACGAAGCGTATTTGATGAAATGAGCTAACACATTTAGTTAATATATGCTCCTTTTCGACATGCATAAACTGAACCAACAATTAGGATAAGCACAAAAATTAAAACTTCTATACCATAGGATACCCCCAATACATCAACACTCATTGCCCATGGATAAAGAAAAACGGTTTCAAACATAAAAAAAACAACAACTCTAAAATCTGAATCCATAATTTGATAAACACTACTATTCTCGGATTACCGATCCAAGGATCATAAACAAGAAATCTTGCAAGTTTGTTTTATGGCGAGAGAATACACCTACCATGCCCAAAATCCATTGAGTTGATATTTGATTCTCATGTCAAATAAATTTTCGATAAAATAACAAGAAAAATTGGTGTCATAAACCAAGAAACCAAACTTTGTTATCTCTATCGTCCCTTTCTTTTTGCTTCTGCATCTGCATCCTGCGCTGACCATGGCGTGGGCTGCAACATACCCCTAATTACTACTCGAACAGGGAATCTCCTATCCGCCTAACCCACTTTTGTCCCCCCTCACCCACTAAAAAACCCTTCTGCACTGTTTCTCTCTGTAACTGTCTTTGTGTGCATTTAAGATGCTGGAATCATGAAGCAAGCAAGCAAGCCAGTAGGGAACGACTGTTCTTTCTCTTTCTCCATTTAAACCACTGGGGGCGTACCCTAGATGATGCTGGTCTCTCATGTTCCACCCCAAATTATAGAATGTTTTCCAATCCCTTCTTTGTCCTGACTCCTAATGTTATTAGAGGTGGGTATATATGATGATCAAGTTGGGTCTGGACCCAGATCAGAATTGGTATGGGAGCACATGGATATTTGAATGAACTGATTCATCAAAAAATATGAATGAAATTCGAGTATATCAGAATTTTGGAATAAGAGAAAATGTAGATTCAATCTCGTCCAGTGTAATAATATGGTTTTGATATGATTCGTTTACGATTTTCTCAGTTCACTTTTAGATCTAATTTGGTGCGAATCAACTCATCATACATAATGTATGTGATGGAGGGTATGGATCATCTTGACGCCCGAGCTTATCGCAGTAGGATATGGGTAGCCACAGAAATGTAGAGGAATGACACGAGGAAGATTGTGAAAGAAGAGAAAGATTTGGTCGGTGGCCGATTCGATTGGTGGAGAAGAGAAGAATTTAGAGTTTGGAATATACGTTGAACTACTCATTGATTATTTCTTGAATGACATAGTTACATTATATAGACTATAAGCTAAACCTAGCCACTGCGGATTGATAATTTCAGAATCTACACATAACCCATATTTGTGCATCTAATTAAAATGTTACACTAAATACACTTTTTTTTAATACATAAATAAATCACAGAAACAATTTTATAGATATCCAACAAACTCATGTGAACAATCGATTCAAATTTTCAGTAAATTCGATTACGGTAAAGAAATATTTTCAATAATAAATATGATGGATTGAACTACACAACGTCCAAACCCAATACCAATGCACCATATCCTATGGAGGATTACGAGGGCATCAATGTAACTGAAAGCCATTTGGGAGTAGCGTGTGCTGTTGTCTAATCCTCCGCCAAATCTTTAATTCCGTTTTAGGACCTGAAAGTTGAGGGGAAGGGGATAAATTAATCCATGATTCCAGAATCCAGGCTCTAATCTTACGCGTAAATCTATGGATATTTTGGGAATATAATGTGAATATGTATGTAGAATTTAGTACCAGCATAGAAAGAGAATCACACAACAGAAATCATTTGCTTTGTAAATCATAAACGGTATTTGTCCACAAATCTCTACTTCCTGATTCGAATAGTTAATGGATCAAATTCGAGAATTGTACCATCCATCTTATGGATTAGGCAGATAGATTGCTGAGGATGTGCTTGGCAAGCTTTGGTAAAACCTAAAAGTAAAAGGGTATTTTTCAACCTGCCACCATATTAATTTTATAAAGGAGAACAATTAAGGGTCGTGAATTTAGTAGGTTTTTTTGCTTGAATTTCGAAAGCCATCACTCGTACATTAGTTTCGTTGTGGCCAACAACAAGACTACAAGTGACTATCTAAGCCACTCTTATGGACTTGCTTGATGTTCATAATGAAAGCATTTGGTGATGAATTTTTCTTTGTCACCAAACAAAAAAGAATAACAAAGAGACCATTCAACTAGACCTAGGGAGTACTAGTTTTTTCAACTACATACTTCTCTTCTCTTCTCTTTATGTACCAATTTTTGTTTTATGTTGTATTAGAAGTGAGCAAAACTTCTACGTTACTCTCTCGGTGGTCACCCGCAGGACTGTAACTTCGTATTAAATACTCTCAGAGTTTGTCGGGTATCTATTGAGGGTCGGGGTTTGCCATCGCAAGACATATTTCTCCTTTTATATAAAAAAAGCGAGCCAAACGCATTTATTATAGTTAATGTTCCTACTAGGAATGACAACTTTGCCCATACCCATGAGTTTCTTACTATCCAACCCAATTGGGTTGGGTATGAAATCCAAATAGATGGATATGGGTAGAGTTTGATGGGTTTGTACCCATACCCATTTACTTTGGGTTGAGTTGGGTTTATATCAAATGGATTTGGGTTTGTACCCATGCCCAAATACAAATTACAGTTTGGTACCCAAACTTAATAGACATGCATATTTAGTACCTAAATTTATTTTTTTTTGCATATAAGTCCTCAAAATATCGATGGAAAATTACGTTTTGGTACCTAAAATTTTTTGGTCTTACATTTTGGTACCTAAACTTTTCAAGTTTTGCAAATAGGTCCAATTTTTGCATGTGTAGTTAAAACACCCTCAAGTAAATGGATATCCATATCCAACCCATACCCATTTAGATTATGAAAAGGAGAACTGGGTGTAGGAGTGAGATTCACGAGAACGGGTCGAGAAGAACGAATGGCTGGGTTGAACGAGAACTTTGAGACAAATGGAAAGGAGAATAGAGCTGAGAGAGAGTGTGTTTGGAGAGAGAAGTTGATGATTTTAGAGATAGAGTCTGAAAAATCCGATCCCCTCACCCACCGGAGTAAATGCCATATTTATAGGCTACATGGTGGTGGGTGAGTGCTTGGGTTACAAGTGGGTACAATGATGTGACCACTGACATGTCAGGGATTTAGGCCATACTTTTAGGACCCTGATGTGACTACTCCTGACATAGGCAGGACTATACCTAGGACTATGATGGTGACTACCTGTTGGATGACGCGGCGCCGCTTCTACGGCTTCTCTATAAGGGTCCCCGCCTGTGTAACGCGTCGTCGTTTAGTGTTTACGCGCGCCTCTACGGGGGTGGTCTTTACCTGCGCGCTTGATTCCGGCGCGACTCGCGCGCTCGACTCTGCGTGACTCGCGCACTTGACTCCGGTGTGACTCGCGCACTTTGCCTTGGCGTGAGTATCCTTGGTGCTTCTTCAGTGGGGTGAGATCCGAGTCACATGCCCAACAATTGCCCCCCATCAGGGGGTATTCCGCGAATGCCACCTGTTTGATCTTCGTGTGGCTGACTCGGATCTGGGCAATTCCATCTTTTTTCGCGCTATTGACTGGGATGGGCGCAATCTGGGCGAGTCGGGGCCTTTCTTGTCTTCGCGTGATCTTCGTGTCCTCAGTGGCGCGCGCATCCTGTGCATCGCGGGTGTTGTCCATTTGATTTACGTGCGCTCGGCTCGATTTTGTTGGGTTCTTCGCTTGCGCGCGTTATCTTTAGGTTGAGGATGGCGCCGGTCGAAGTTGGTGTGTCATGCCCCCCTGTTGTGCGCGTGACCTTGAGCTACGCTCGTAAGTCATGTTCTCTCGTTGGTGCGCGCTACCTTTGAGTTTGGGATGGGTTGTTTTTTCTTCCTCGCGGGTGTGTCATGCCCCCCAGGCGGTGAGCGGCACTTGTGGCGTCGCCGACTGTTGTCTTTGGTGGTAGGTGTCCACGTGTCTCTGCTTGATTGGGCCATTGGGGCGGGGATTTCTTGAAATTCGAAAGAATTCGAAAAGATTTTGTAGGCTCTGACGGTTACGAATCCCTATGTAGCTTTAACCCTTCGTTTTCCCTTGGCTGACTATAAATATGGGTTTGCTATAGGAGAGTGGGACTCATCTGTTTTTACGACTCTGCTTCTTGTTTCGTGTTCTTCTTTTCTCTGAGATTCCTCTCCTTCTTCTACAACCTCGATTCTCCTTTCGCTGTTGTTGGATTCAAGTTATTATCATGGCTGGCATCAACATCAACGAGGCTGAGGTCGTACAAGGCGAAGAAGGTAATCTCTCCACTCTTTCGCACACTTCTACTGATCGTTCGCTGGAATTAGACGACGGTTCCGGTGGTGGGAACGGCGGCGATGGCGATGGGGTTCCGGCGACGCCGTCGTTCGACATCGAGTCGGAGGAGGCAAGACAAGGGGCTCGTAGGGTGCTGATAATCCGCTGTGATCGTGATGGGAGGCCGGTGGTTGCTGATGATGACGTGCGCGAAGACTCTGGCGCACAATCAGAGCCGCACTATAATGTGCGCGTAACGGAGGCTATGGCTCGACTCGGATTACGCGGTGTTGGCGTCGCGTATAATGTTATAGAGTGGGCCGAGATGTGGGACGATCAACCAGCGCCGCATGACAACCTCAAGCGCGGACCCGAACACGCCTCCTTATACGATGTTGGTGACGTGGAGTAGATAGTGCGCGGGCTGGGTTTGCCCCCCCCCCCCCCCCCCATTGGCAGTACGCCGCTCCGTCTACGCGCAGCATGGTGGGTAATTGCCCCGCGGGGTGGTTTGGCGTGTACACAGAGTATTGGGTGATGGGGTTTAAGTTCCCCATCGACCCGCTCTTGTGCGCTTTGTATAGGCGCCTCAACTGCTCCGTTGGGCGGCTCTCTCCGTCGGTGATCATGCACGCGAGGCGGACTCGCGTGCAAACGGCTTAATATCGAGCCGACTTACGGCCTCTTCCGGAAGATATATAAAATCAAGGAGCCAACCACGCGGAGCGACTGTCTTTCTATTAAGCGCCGCGACAAGAGGCCCGATGGCTTCGTGTATGGATCGCCCAAGTTGAAGAAGACTTGGTTCGAACGTTTTTTCTACGTCAAGCCCGTTCTTGGAGAGTGGGCGAGTGAGTTTGTTGAGGAGCCTACTGAATGGAAGAAAGGCAGTACGAACGGGTACGAGTCGGATGTTGGCGTCTATGACGGGCTGGACGATGAGTATGAGGCGTGCATGGATCATAGGATGAACTTATACGCCACGGGAGTGCGCGAGGCTTGTTTGCAGGAGCTGTTCGCCGATGGTTAGTTGTATTTCTTTTGTTTTGCATTCTATCATATTAACCGCTTTCTTACGACTTATTGGCGCAGGTGTTGATTTCTCCAACCTGGTGAGCATGATGTCGGTTGACGACGTCGTGAAGGCCCCGCGCGCTGATAAGAAGAAGAAGAAGAAGGAGGGCGTGGCGCCGAGGGGCGCGAAGCGGAAGGAGATTGAGCAGCCCCGGGCGGTTGAAAAGCCCCGTAAGGTGGCTCGCGTAGAGGAAACAAGTACGCGGGAGGCGCGGGCTCCCCCGGCGGAACAAACGCTATCTGATGCGCGGCAGCTATCCCTGGCGCTTTCACAGCCGGAGGCGGTGGTGACCAGACCCTCTCGGTCTGAGAGAGAGAACGCGGGGAGTTCGTCCGGTGCCACCGTCCAGCAGAAGCTGCCCGAGATGGCAGGCTTTGGGGGGACTGCCGCGGCCACCTCTCCCAGCGCTGCCACCGTCAACTACTTCCGCGATGTGCGGATTCATACCTCGGCGGCGTGCAACCTTGTGGCCGCGAATACCGCGCTTCGTGCGCTTGGGCCTGTCTTAAGTGTTCCGCCGCGGGTGGAGAAGTCTGATCCCCTTCATGACTTGCCTCAGATCCACTTCGCGGTAAGATCCGGCTCAGTTTCGCGTCTTATCTCTCTCTCTCTTTGTCTTTCCCCCTTTTTTAATGTATTGTCTTGCTAAGTCTATGAGCGCTGTGGTTGTAAGGTTTGTCGGCGACCTTCCGGGCTCAGAAGGAGCGCGCACTACAGCGCGCCAGGATAAAGGATGACGAAGCCAAGATCGTCCAGCTGGAGGGGAAGGTTGTCGGGGCCAACAACCCCACCAACGTGGCCACCAACAAAGCCAATGAGGCGATGGAGGAACTTGGTCTCCTGCAGAGCAAGCTGGCTGCCGACGTGGAGGCGGCAAAAGAGCGGGTGCGAGCTGAGGAGCGCTCGACCATCCGCAGTCAGCTAGAAGCCTCTTATGATGAGAAGCTGAAGCAAGCTCGCGAAGAGCTTCAAAGGGAGAAGGATGACCTGGTCCGCCTTCACAACATCGCGAAGGCGGAAGCTGTTCGCGAGCCCGAGGTCGCGGCCGTTCGCCAGTTCAAGTCTTCTCCCTCTTTTGGGTAGATTTTGGCTGACGCTATGACCAAGGCCGTGCTCGCGGTCGGGAAGAAGATTCGGCCGGAGAACCCGGAAGTCTGCTGGGACACGCGCGAAATGTTCCGCCACGTCCAGACGTGGATTGGCGAGAAGCGGCCCTTGGAGTCTGACTCCGAGTCGGGTGACGAGGATGACAAAGAGGGTGATGAGGAAGAGGAAGAGGAAGGGGAAGAGCGCCCGGAAGGGGAAGAGCGCCAGGTTGTGGAGAAGGCTGAGGGCGCAAGCAGGGATACTGAGGGAGCTGATGAAGACGATGAGGAGGATGCTCAGCCCCTGTTGCGCCGTAAGCAGAATAAAGAGGGCCAAAGTGCCTAAGTGTCTTTGCGTCGACATGTTCCCTTTCTGCGTTTGTTGCTTTGTTGTCTTTCTTGTTTTCTTCTTTCTTTTCTCAAGTGTAATTGCGATTATTTGTTGCTCCCGCTTAATTGAATCCAAAGAGTTCTTATTCACGGCGTTTGTTTGTTCCTTTGAATCGAGTGAGCGCGAATAGTGCTGGACTATTGCCAATGTTTGTTCTTCCGAACTGAGGAGGCGCGAATAACTCTTAGTTATTGCTTTTTTTTTTGCAACTGTTAGGGCGCGAATAACTCTTAGTTATTGCTATTTTTTGTTCTCTCGAACTGTGAAGGCGCGAATAACTCGTAGTTATTGCTATTTTTTGTTCTTTCCAACTGTGAAGGCGCGAATAACTCGTAGTTATTGCTATTTTTTGTTCTTTCGAGCTGTGAAGGCGCGAATAACTCGTAGTTATTGCTATTTTTGGTTCTTTCAAACTGTGAAGGCGCGAATAACTCGTAGTTACTGGTATTTTTTGTTCTTTCGAACTGTGAAGGCGCGCATAATTGGGAAGTCAATATTATTGCTGATTTCTTGTGGCCATGCACAAATGTTACATTAATTTGAGCAATGATATTTCCTGAGATTCTGCACGTTCCATGTTCGTGGAATTTTGGTGCCCCCAATTCCCTGAGCTTGAAGGTATTGGCACCAACAACCTCTCGGATCAGGTACGGGCCTTCCCATGTTGAGGCGAGCTTACCATGTTTGGGGTCGGGGCGGAAGTTCCTGCGTAGCACTTGATCTCCAAGAACCAATTTGTGCGGGACCAATTTCGCATTGTAGTACTTGGCTACTTGCGCCTTCGTCGCAGCTAGTTTTATGGCCGCCAACTCTCGTCGTTCTTGTGCTAGCTCTAGGTCTAGCAGGGGTGCCTCCTCGTTATCTGCCTCGTTGTACGCCATGACCCGGTATGTTGGGAATGTTACCTCTATGAGTATAACCGCGTCTGTGCCATAGGTGAGTGCGAATGGGGTTTCGCCCGTTGCCACTTTGTAGGTGGTGCGATGCGCCCATAGCACCATGTTGAGCTCATCCGCCCAGTTGCCCTTGGCTTCGTCTAGTCTCGTATGGAGGCCGTGCAAGATTGATTTGTTGGCTGCCTCCGCTTGGCCGTTGGCCTGGGGGTAGGCTACTGATGCGAACCTCGCGATGGCTCCCAGTTGGTCGCAAAAGTCTATCACTTCCGCGCAGTCGAATTGTTTCCCGTGATCGAAGATGAATGCATTCGGAACTCCGTAGCGCGCTAGGATATTACTTTTTAGGAAACGGGTTACCTGATGCGCCGTTATAGATGCCAACACCTCCGCCTCGATCCACTTGGTAAAGTAGTCCACTGCCACAATTATGTACTTGCGTTTCCCTTTTGCTGTTGGGAATGGGCCGAGAAGGTCCACTCCCCACTGCGCGAAGGGCTAGGCACTCAGATTGCCTTGGAACTCGGTCGATGGGAGATGATGTTGGCGAGCGTGTAATTGACACTTATTGCATTGGTCAACGTACTTCTTCGTGTCCTTTTTCACCCGTGGCCAATAGTACCCATGTAATAGTATCGTGCGCTCCATACTACGCGCACCGGCGTGCATTGCGCACATTCCTTCGTGCAGCTCTCGCACCATGTTGTGTGCCTCGTCGTTTCCGATGCATTTGAGGTATGCTCCGGAGTATGATCGTCGGTATAGGTCCAAGCCAATTAGTGTGCATCGGGCCGCCTTTTGCCTTAAGGTCCATGCTTCCTTGGCATCTTCTGGCACCGTGCCGTCCTGTAAGAACCTTATGATCGGGGTTCTCCAGTCATCTTCCGTGACTTGGGTGGTATTGACCATGGCTTCTTGGCGAGTTTCTTCTTCCTCCTTTTGCACTGTCACTAGGCGCGTAGACTCGAAGTTTGTTGCTGTTGCCAGCTTGGATAGCGCATCGGCGTGCATGTTTTCTTCCCTGGGTATCTGCACGTATGTCACCGCCTCGAAGGTGGTTGCTCGCTGCTTGACACGCTCCATGTAATGCGCGAGTGCATCTTCTTTGGCATTGAAGGCTCCGTTCAGTTGGTTGACAGCTAACGATGAGTCGGAGAGTACCCTGATTGTTCTAGCGCCCAAGTCGTTGGCGGCTGCCATTCCTGCCAAGATGGCTTCATACTCGGCAACGTTATTTGTCTTCAGGGCTC